CCCAGAGCCCACCTCCACATCACACCGTGACAATGGTGAAGCCAAGACTGACCAGAGCCCAGACAGCAAGAGGGGTTAGGCACTTGCAAACACACTTCCAAATAAACAGACAGACACACATACTTTAAATGACAGTCTTATCCAAAGCTCCTCTAGCAGGTGGTGGAGTTGCATTGTCAGATGGGTGAGGAGCCCCTTCCTGTTTTTGTTTTTATCCTCAGAACAAATAGCATCACACTGTGAGAAGATTAAAATGACTGCTTCTACATAGTCAAACACTCATACGGGGACCACAGACACAGTGCAGCTGCCGTGCTGTTCCCCGGGGACTTTAACCGTCAACCATCTTTTACCGCCACCCTCAATTCATCTTAATGCCAAAACCCCCTCTCATACATTCACATTCTAACTTACATATTATATTTTTGCATATCTCAATGTACTCCTCACAGCAGCAGTCTTGTGGGGGATTGAACCTGGAAATATTGCACCACGAATTTGAACTGAGTGCACAATAAGCAAAGATTAAACATGTTATACTTTTCAAAGAATAGTGTAATACATTCACCATTCAATTATGGACCACAGAAGTAAAAACATTACAAGAAATAAATCCTAGAATGAGGTAAACAGGCCAATGAGTGTGTCAGTGTGCATCTATAGTATTGCAACCATAACATTAATCAAACCAATTGTTTCCGAATTGATCATAAATAAGCTTCAAGAAAAAATGCCAAACACACTGAAAAGAATTGGTGTAACTACAAAAGTGAAAACTGTAGATAAATTTGAGGGTGTTTTTGGCAGTTCATCTCTGTGACCACACTGTCATTAAAGTATAAAGTATAAGACAATTCAACAGGTATGTGTGCTCTTGTGCTGATCTATCATTGTCTTAACAATCTCCAGGTAAGAGCATCCCTTCATCAGAGACCTCAGAGAGAGCACAAAGTGCCAAGAGAGACAGCCTGTCCTCAGGGGAGAAGGACTCTTCAGACAGCAAAGCCACTCAGGTATGAACACATCTGTCTATAAAATTTGAATCGGTGTCATATGATCTGCTGTTGTAACCCCTAGAGGGAGCAGCTGAAAGAAGAAGAAAGTACATCCACTTTACTTCGCTTCTCAGACCCAGAAGATATCCTTTATATACAGTCTATCATATTACTATTTATTAGTCCAGAAAAATCCTCAATATTTTCTTTTCTTCTTGCCTGTAGGACCTAGAGGATGAAGCCCCGCCCAGCAAGAAAAGCAAACTGGAGTCCTCATCTCAGGACTTTGAGGAGAGTTAAATGTTTGGGGCTGAGTCATTACTCTTCTTCAGCCTCCTGTCTCTTTCCCTTTGTCCTTCTTCCATTAACTCTAGATAATTTAGGGCTAATGGACATACTGGCTCTCCTCTCACTCCTGTTTTTCTTCCCTCACCTTCTCCTCTCTACCTAAACTAAAAGGGATAATGGACGTCTCCCACCCTTCCTCTCTCACTTTCACCCTAATGGCTGCTTCCCCTCCAGTTTGTCATCTTTGCCCCTGACACTCCCCTGTCACAGAGGGAGAATGGATATTACCTCTGTTCACTGGTCCCCCTCCGTGCTTCCTTCCAGTCCTCCACACTTTTCACTAATGCCAAGAGACACGCCGAACCTGGGCTGCAACCCCCTCTGTGAACAGGGGCAGCGCTGTCAGCCAAGCCACCACCAGGCCAGATGACAAACACTGACCTGCTTCTGTGACTAAAAGAGTTAACACTGGGATTAGGATGAGGTCAATCGCAGACACTGCTCTGAGACCATTTTTTAAACGTTTCACTGCTAAGGGTTTAGCTCAGGATAACTGAAGAGGCTAGCCTGGTCTCAGATCAGCGGCTGCGGGGGGAACCTCCACCCTAGGACCACGTCACTTCAATCCTCCCGATGCGCCTCCTGTTAGACTAATGTTCTATATTTGTTTAGGAAGTGTTTAGGGTTTTTTTCTCAGGAGGGTCAATGCACTGTTATGGTATGTCACAATCGATCACAGATAGATTTGCTGCTGTAGTGGATGTCTTTTTTCTCTATCCATGAAAAGTTCACCATTGACATATGTTTTTGTTTTTTTTGCTTTCAAAGAGAGTTTGTTTATGGTTCGTAGAGGAAGAATATGACAACGGTACTGGTTGAGATACACTCTTGGTTAAGTAGTAAAAACAGGCATAGCTAGCGTAGGTCCTGGAGGTGTGCCTTGAGTTGCTATGATTAAATACACGTTTTAGGTCAAGCAGGTTTTGAATTACAATTTTGGTGCCATGTTTTGTTTTGTTTTTTGCCTTACAATTATCACTAAATAGTTTTAGCCGATATTTATTTTTTACCTACAACTGTTTTTCATTTAAAAAGAATAGATGAACATTTTGGGAAATATTTGCTTTCTTGCAGAGAGTCAAACAAAAAATATGGCATTGTCACAGCCAGGCATTAGTTAGCTTAGCTTGGTATAAAAGCTGGAAAAGGGAAATGGCTGGCCTGGGTTGGTCTAAAATCAGTCAAATAAGAACTAGGAACACCTGTAATGTTGCAGCAACACACAAATCCACCAGGTTAAATTTCCTTGATGGGTGTCGCCCAAAGTAGGACGGGACAGGAAGTGGCAGAGGGAGAAGCTAGCCTAGCAGAAATAGTATTTGATTTTGGTTATTTTACTTTTGTGAATTTTTCTCTAGGGGGTCACAGCTTCTGTCAAAGACAGTCTGGCGCATAACTCCCTGTGAATGACACGACTTAAGTTTTAGATTTGGGTTTTTTTTGTTGTTGTTTTTGTCCAAAAGCTTTGGAGATGTTAGTAGGTGAAACTAGCTTACATGTTAACATGCTATTTATTATTTATTTACAATTATTATTTTTACTTTTATACTAGAATGAGACGAAGAAAGAGACGAAGTCCCTCATTACTTCTTGGCACATAAGAAAGTGTCTAACTGTCACCTGCCATGTAATCGCGTTATATCGCATTATCATAAAACTCTCTGCAAGGAAGCAAATTGGCGTGTTATTCCTTTACACAGTTGGAGACTGGAATTTGAACACTACCCAGAAGTTAATTTAGTTTTGTCTTGTGAAAATGTTGCAATTTGTAAACTTCAGTCAGAACACCAGTTGTTGGTCTTTGTCTACTTCAGGTGTTTGTTTGTTTTTCTTTTAGCACCTTTAAGTAGAAATTGACCAATTTCCTGGACCGGTTTTCCCACCTGCTCCACCATTTAATCACTTCTCCTCTGTGTAAGTCTTCTGTGTATCACTACTTCTCTATGACCTACTAAAGTCTTTTAGCTCAAACATTGGTTCTAATCCTCCTTCAAGGTGCTGTCTGTTGGCTGAATCCATACACATGTGGCATCAAGCTCTTGGTTTTGTGCAAAGTTGTGCAATTTACTTGAACTTTGTTGTGTGGATTCAGGCCTGTGACCTCTAATGTACAACCTCACACATCTAAGATTTACTTTCATTAATTGAGATTTCCTTGTCAATTTGGATTGAAATGAATTGACTCACCACAAATCAATGATTTCATAACATAACAGGGGCTTTATGATGCAGAATTACTTGATCAGATTTCAGCAAATCAGCATTCACATGGATGGAGAGAAAAGAAATTTTAAAAAAAATGTCTTGGTATAGAGGACGGATTAGCATATACCTCATTCCCAGTCCAGCAGCGCTGGAACTTAAAATGCTATTGTATTGACATTAACAGTTATAAACAGCATTATGTACACTCAGTTTAAGAAAAAAAATCTCACTTATGTTGTAGCTTTCATCTGATCGAGCCAATTGCTTATAGTTTGCTCATAACTGTAAAAAAAGAAAAATGGAAAAAAAGAGCTGTGAGATATAAGATCTTGTATGTTTTGGGGTTTTTTTTTTTCTTGGGACCATATTGTTTTTCTTTAGATCTTGTACAGATTTATGGTTTGGTTTGACTTATTTATTCCATCAGTAGTGCTTGGTTTTTATCATGTCCAATGGTTTTGTTTTCTTAATAAAAGTCACAAAATTTTCTGGGTGTTGATGTTCAGTGTTTGTTGAGAAGAAAAAGGGCACGAATCATGAGGACATCTGAAATAGCAGCCTTATCAAAGTATGCTTTTTGCTTTTGAGTGGCTTGTTTCAGCTTGCTTTTGCCAGTATGTGAAAGCTACATATTCAGACACATTTTTTTTCATACCTTTGTTACAGTGGAACAAAGACATGAAAATATTAATAGTAGGACTGACTGCCCAAGGCCCCAATACCAGGAGGGGCCCTTGGAAGCCTCAAATGAACAGTTTTCCATTCACAATTTTTACTTCTACTTAATGTAATCATTAAGTTACCTGAATAATTAAAAAAAATAGTGGAGGCTTAGATGCCACTTTGACAAATGCTTTAGTCCACTCAGTTCTTACAGAACAGTGCTCAACTCTTACAGTACAGCTAATAAATTTTATTAAGTTGACTGCTAATGAAGACTGAGTCATATCTATAATCAAGAAAGCAAAACTGGGTTATCAAACAAGAAAGAGAAAAACCAAACTTCAGCCGTTAGCAAAACATTTATGCAACCACAATTACCACCATCTGGTGGTCTTCAGATAGAATGTAGGTTTAATGCACGTACACACTGCCTGAATTTCTTTTAGCCAAAAGTTACATGCACGTTTTAGAGTGGTTTTAGCGGTTTTACTTTACATGATTGCCACGTCTTTTTCATGTGTGAATTACACTGCCAAGTTCCAAATTTCTCCTTTTTTCATGCACTCCCACAATATCTGAGGTACTGAAGCCCTGGTTGATTTATATTTCTATTAATGTAACCAAAACAACAGGAAAATAAGTATATCAATTTCACAATGGAGATGTTTTTATGTATATACTTTCCTTATTTTTCTTGTCAGACAACTATTGAAATGTGAAAAAAGTGCATCTGGGACGAGCAGTGGCTGACCGGTAAAGAGGAAAGAAAGGACGAGAGCAGCTTTTCTTTTCTTAGCATTTGTATTGTTCTGTTCAGGAGTATACAGCACATAGAAAACAGTGACATTTTCCACCACATTAACATCTGTAAAATGGTTTGAAACCATTTATAGATGGTGCCTGAAATTGTTACATATAAAACATTACACCAATAATTAGACGCATCACTTATAACAATGTTTTAAAGTCTATACAAATAATTTTCCCCTTGAGTGAAAACCTCCTTATAGAATGTCAGCCTTGTCAACAGGGCAAAAAAATAAGATGTACACATAAAAGCTATCTTTTTGTTCCATGGCACTTTGTACACATTTAGCAGAAGGAAACTTCTGATTAGTATTTACAAAAACTAGGGTCAGTGGTTAGTCATGTATTATACACTGTTACACTGGAAGATTCAATATGATCCAAAATTGTGCTTTAGTATAAGATATATCAAATAAAAACTGCTATACAGGGTTAATTTAAAGAAATAGTTTGGCAATTAAGGTAATTCACTTAGTCGCTTTCTGACAGCTAATATTCTTGTAGTAGCACCTCTAAAGCTCACAAACAGTTATATGATCATGTTGCTTTAAATAGTACAAAAATGTAAAAAAAAAAAGAAAAGAAAAAGAAAAAAAAAGGCAATTTGTTTTATTTTCAACACATTATTTATAATGCTTCCCAATATTTCTTCAATATGTGCTAAGCTAACCTGGTGTAGCTTTAAGCTGACTGCACTTTAGAAATCCATTGAAATCCATTCAGTACCATATCACTGCTGTTTCTTTGTTTATTGTGCTTATAATTACAAAATCCACCAGATGTTAGGATTACCTTTAATTTCTATATATGTGCTAACGTGTGCTTTAATGATGTATTTTGAGGTTATCATTATTTTGTAAGAAACCAGGTTATACAGGAGTTACACATGCTGTGTGGTAACTATGTTCACAGTAAATGTTTTTAGTGTATAATAAGGTGGCTTTCATAAGGTAACTTTAAATAATGATGTATGTTCATTTGACAAAGTAAAGTCCAGTTGTATTGTGACTTTTAACAGTCACAATACAACTGGAATAGACTTTAGTAGTCAGTGTCATTAAACTCTCAAAGCGAAAAAGCAGAATTACTAAAATGTCAAACTTTTGCTTTAAAGGTACTTGTTGCAAATTCCTTTTTTGAAATCATTCTTCACGAAATAGAGAAAAAGAGAGAACTAAAGTTTAAGCAGGGCTGGACTACACTATGTGTAATACCAATTTCCACAACAAGGTGGTGTAGCAAGTCAGTGTAACGTACAACTCTATTTTGGGCATTTTCAGCCTATTAGTACAGTATAGAGAATAGACAGGAAAGCAGACTCAAATCCCTGGTCCCCTGCTTAAAAATGCTATTTGTAGGGGTACCCAGTGTAACCTACATTTAACCAAGCAAATAACTACGAGCACATTCTTATTTTCAACACACCTGCTGATCAAACCCTGCACCTTGGCGCTGCAAGTTTTCCTTAAATGCCGGAGAGGAAGATTGCAAAAAGTACCTTTAAAGAGGTCGGCATGAAAGTTAGTGCTCAATGATCGGCACCGTCCTCCTTGAAAAAAATAGCTTTTAAATACTTTGAGAAGAAAACGTACATTTATTGAATCTTTAAAGTGGATAGTGCAAAGCTATCAAAGTTAGTAGAGGCTTCTGGAGTTTCATTTGGGCAGTTTCCTGTAACATTAGGCAGATGCATTTCAAAAGCCCACCTATACTACAGTAGTCCTAGCACTGACTATACACCTTCAATCAGTGCTAGCTTATTTTCCCTTAAGGGTGTCACTGGCTAATAAAAGATCATACAATAAATAACAAAATGCAACTTCATTATTAACCTTCAGTAACTTTCTACTGCATCGTTTGAAACATATCAACCTGTGGGAGACTAAACAGGAAAATGTGTTTATTCCTGATGTTGAAAAAGCTGTTGAAACCCAACCATGAGATCTGTTTAGTAGCTTTTGATTAAGTTCCCCATTCGTCACAATATTGCAGGCAACTTTTAAATTGTAAACTTTTAGGCATCTCAGGAAATGGTCCTTAAAAATCTCTTAGAAATAAGAACAATGTGAGATTATAATGAAAAGCTCAGCAGTTACTAAACAGACAGAATTGTGTTATTTAGTTAAGCAATGAAACTTTATACTGAAAAAAGTACGTGTGAAGGTAAACCCATGCTTTGAAAAAAGGGCCTGAAATTATTATTTTTTGGAAAGTACCATTTCCAAGGTCAAGATTGAACTATATCCATATCAGAAAATATTTACATTGTCAGCATTTAGGTTACTACTAGAACTTAGGTTGCTAAATCTGTTTAAACAAATTAAGTCAAAATTATTTTAAATATTAAACTGAACTATTTTAATTGGAAATCTGTGACAAATTTAAGAAAAAATATGAAATATTACAAGAAATAATATTATTTTATGATCACTTTTATCATAATATTTTATGATAAAGTGATCATGTTTTGAGAATAAGGGGTCGTGTGAGAATATGAGAATAAAGTTAAGAAAAAATATCTTACTATTATAATATAATATTAATGTGCTAAAGTAAATGCAACAGTCTAAGAAAACAACGTGCCGTAACATTTTGAAAATACACGCAATATTATGAAAATAAATTATTTAAGAAAAAAGAAATCCCCTCATTAAAAATGTCTGTATAACATTTTAAATAATAAAGCCAAATGATTTATTGAAAAAGTTGTAATATTCTGAGAACAAAATTAAATTTTTACAGTGATGCAGTATTTTTAGAATACTAACTATGATAATTACCATTATAAGAATTTAGTAATAATATTCCAAATGTCTATTTTAATATATGCACTTGAAACAAAGTGTTGAGGAAAATTTGTCTGCTTTTCCTTGTCAAAGTAGGAATGATATGCAACTTAACGGCAAAGATTTAATATTGAAAAAAAGAAAAAAAATGAATCCAGCTCATACACACTTCAGAAATGGACATTCTTACTTTTTCACAATTCCTTGCATTACCATGTTAGATCATTTTGAAATCTCTGTGTATTCTTCAAGGATTCATGTGTTGTTGTGCTTTGAGCTTTGGGCCATTTAATATTAATCATATTTATTGGATCTAATTATGAAGAGAGCCCCGTTAAAAGTTTGCTTATACTTGCTGATGGCAAAGTAACCTGATGGCAGTATAATCACAGGTGATTTAAGATGGCACTGAACTGTTTCACTGTGTGATGAAGAGCATGTATGCTACACACTATTAATATGCAATAAATAAATAAAGCTGGCGTTCTGCAGTACGCCAGCTGTTAATTCGTTTTTTGTATTTATGCATTTCTTCAGCACCTGCCCCATATAGTGGTGAGGATGTGCATGGATTTTTTTTTTCTTGTTTCACCTATATGTCCACCAAAACATTACAACTTTTTCAGTTTTATTATTATAATTACTTTTTCCCAAAAATATTTTTCCCTTTTTTATTAAAAGGGCTTTACAAAATATTGCATGAAAACATAAAAAAAAGTTATGGCAGCATCAGTGTGATTGGTTTCTAGCATCACACTGAGCTATGTGAAACAGAGTGGAGAGGTGCTTCATCTTCCCTTCATTCAACTGTGCTTCCCTTTGCTGACCATCAACAAATTCAGCCGAAGTTATTTTAGAGAAACTGAAATGCAAAACAAACATTAAAAATGACAAGTGCAGAGGACAGATTCCTTTTGTTATTAACATCAATATTGCACCAAAGCAGCATACAGTATTTGGACGAGCATTCTTCATGACACAGAATGGAGCTGCAGAGTAAAGGATTCAGACCAGGACAGTGGCTACTTCTGATATGCATAAATACGGTATAAAAATACATTATGGAAAAATTTGCAGCGGCTATATTCAGACATGTTGGGTTGGACTGTGGGGAAAAAAGAACAGGAGAGGAAACGGTGGTAACTGAACTTTTTAAGGCGAGGAAGCAAAAGGAAGGGGAAGGAGAATAAAACACCTGGAGCCTCTAGAAGGTCTGATCATCATTGCAGGACTCTGTGGCATGTCCGAAGGCCTCGCAGATATCACAGTAGGGCCTTTCAACGGCAGGGTTGCCATGGTAGGTGGTGTGAGGTACAGAGTCGGGGCTCTGAGCCTGAGTGGGGCAGTCCTCTGTGTCGTGGAGGTCAAAGCAGTCACAGATGTCACAGAAGAGACGCGGGGTTGCCTTCTTCTCTCTCTTAGATATGCCTTCATCAAACCTACGTTATAGAGAAAAGCGAAAACACACAAGCTGTGGCCATGGGTTTTTATCTGAATATGTTGTATGTAAATCATTGTATACTACACTAGTGTTTTCCTAGTCTTTTTCCTTGAAAGTGTTAGACAACAATGTGATGAGTCAAGTGCGCTGGTGGTCCAGGAGCGGTTTTAATTGTTATGACCAGGGGTGCACGTAAGTGGTCCGCAGGTGCACATTCGCTGTCAAAATAAAGACGCGCACCAGATAAGAAGTTGCAACACGCGTTTGCGTACATAAGATTTTCTGGAGGAGGACAGACATTTGTTTAGAACTCTTAAAGATGTCAAAGAAGCAAGCTCCTTTAAGCAATTACTCTGGTGTTCCTCCACCTCCAAAGAAATGTCACTCTAGCGGACAAAAACAGTGCCTTTTATATGTGCGCAAACGCGCGTTGCAACTTCTGTCAATTGTCTGTCTGAACTAAAAGCTTTGCTCAATTATAATAAGCGAGAACAGCAGAAAACTGCCTACACAAGCAAGAGAGATTGATTGGCACTTTTGATTGAAAAACTAGTTAATTAGTCTAGCTGATCAATTCTAGATGATTTGTTTGTGCTCATTAGTTACATTTTTTTAACAGTATATTTCTTACCCATCAGTCCCGTCGTTACCATTGAACTCAGACAAAGCAAGCTTCTTCAATTTGATCTTCAGCTCCTCGTTCTTCCGCTGCAGGTCCACAATCACACTATTCAGGAAGTTGATCTGATGGAGAAAATCACACATATCTCCTCTTAAAGGACGCTGGGGTCATGTGTGCAAACGTGTGCAAACATTAACTGGAAACCGAGAATGAGATCAGTTCTGTTAGCAGCAAGTCTTACCTGTCCCTCTGCAAACTCCTTCTCTTCCCTCAGCTGCTCCAGAGCTGCATCACCTGCAAAAGTATGTCAAAGTCAAGAAAAAGAGTACACAAACTATTTTTTTGTATCTCTTGTCAGATACAAGACTGAGGTATTTTCTCACCAGAGGGTGGGAGTTCCTTGTCTCCTTCCTCCGAGGCTTGTGCTCCCATAAGCCTTTGCTCTAGACTATGAACGCGGCTCTGCAGCTGAGCTTTGTCTCTCTCTAGCGTTTCCACGGCCGACTGCAGGGTCTTGGCCATGGCATTTTCTCCTCGCAGCACCGTGATCTGCCGATAGAGACAGACAAATACCTTACATATTTGGCATTACACAGGACAAATGTAGCGTGTCCAAGATACTATAAGTTGAGCGTGAGTACCTCATTCCTCAGAGTTTCTAATTCCCGGTCTTTGTCTGAGATTAAGGCTCCAGTGGTTTTCTGGAAGTTTGTGTCCCCCTCTGATTCCACATTTGAGACAATTTCTCTGCAGAAAAATGTGTACAAGGAGTAAACAGTGAAAGGACTTTTTATTTCCAGTTTCTTGCTATTCTTTATTTGCATGCATTGTTTTCTATCTTATAGATAAGACTGTATCCATTTAACGGTGTGATTACTAATGTTAAATGTTGACAGCCTAGACAAGAGCTTAAGATGATTCACAGTGTCAAACGCACACTTGAAATCAAGAAAAACAGCTGTAACATAACTGCTCTTGTCTAAGTAAGATTTCACTCTCTCAACAAAAACAGACGTTTCAGTTGAATGAAGAGTGCGAAATCCAAATTGCATAGGGTGTAAACCCGGATTGGAGTTAGTGGTGCAACGGATCACGGTTGATCCATAATCCGAATCCATCCCACTCCACGGTTTGGAACGCACGTGATCCGAAGATTCGAAAAAGAAGAAAAGAAAATATGTGTATGGTGGTCAGTCTGTCAAGCGATAGTTATGGCCACCGCTAGCGGTCCAAGTGGAGGAGCAGAGGAGTTTGCGGCATTTAAGCAGGCCTTTGCTGCCCAATCCGACTGGGCTACAGCTATTACAAAAACTATTGGGGTGTTTAGCTGCAGACGGGAGGCCGTATTCCGTTGTGCAAAACAAGGGGTTTTGCACAAGGGGTTCTGCAGCTGGTTCAAAATGCGGCTGCACGACTCCTAACAGGAACTCGAAAAAGAGCATATAACCCCCGTGCTAGCCTCTCTGCACTGGCTGCCTGTGTCTTTTAGAGTTAATTTAAAAATTCTTATGTTTGTTTTTAAATGCCTTCACAGTCTTGCCCCGCCTTACCTCTCTGAGATTCTTCATCCCCACATACCCTGTCGGTCTCTCAGGTCAGCTGACCAGCTGCTCCTGGAGGTACCGAGATCCAGGAGGAAGCTCAGAGGGGACAGGGCCTTCTCTATTGTGGCTCCAAAATTATGGAATAATTTGCCCTTGCACGTTAGAGAGGCCCCTTCACTGTCCACTTTTAAATCACGTCTTAAAACCCACTTTTATTCCTTGGCTTTTAACCTCAGTGAGACTTAGTTTCTCTTTTAATTGAAGTAGTTATTTAATTAATGATTTCACTCTTCTTTTATTTGTTTTTATTTATATCTCATGTAATTTTATTTTACAGTTCCAATGTACAGCCCTTTGTGTCAGCTGTGGTTGTTTTAAAGTGCTTTATAAATAAAGTTGATGATGATGGTAAACTATGATGAACGTGCTTGAGCCACGCTATGATATCTCGTTGCGCGTCCACTTCAGTGACAAGATCGTTCCAAGCACGTATGAGCAGGAAAAGTTACAGCTGAACTATCCCAGGCATCTTCTGTTGCCCTAACTACAAATGGGTGGAACTCCAGGGCAACGGAAAGCCACGTGGCGGTGACCGCTCATTATATCACAGCGGAGTGGTAGATACAAAGCCCTGTACTGCCCAATAGATTAGATTAGATTAGATGAAACTTTATTAATCCCATGGGTTCCTCTGGGAAATTCAGTTTCCAGTAGCACAGTGAGCAGAAATATACCACATATACACATATATAAATATAGAGAATACAAAAGGGATAAATAGAATAAATAGGAATAAGAATACAAGGGAACGGCACATTTCAAGTTTTGTGAGTCTATTACACCATTGGATATTAACAAAAACTATTGCACAGGGAAAAGGCACTACAGCTTACTTGTTCCCCCCTCCTTTGTCCCCGTTCCCCCTCCCTCTCCCCTCCAGCGAGGAGTTAAACAGTTTGATGGCGTGTGGGACAAAGGACTTTTTAAGTATGCTCGTCCTTGACTTTGGGAGAAGCAACCTCTCACTGAACAGACTCCTCTGGCTGTTTATGGCCGTGTGCAGAGGATGCCCAGCACTGTCCATAATGTCCATATTGCACCCTAATTTATTTTTATATAAGTGCGTGGAATGAAATTTTTGTCTTTTTTTTCCTATTTTCGCTGATCCGAAAATTTATCCGATCCGTGACTTAAAACCGTAATCCGATCCGAACCATGAGATATTTGATCCGTTGCACAACTAATTGGAGTCATTAACATGTTCCATGATAGAATTAGCAACCCACTTTTCTGCAATCTTTGAAAAGATAGGGAGTATGCTAATAGGTTGATAATTAGCAGGGTCTGATTTATCACCCGATTTCTAAATTGGTGTAACTTTTGCCACCTTCTAACTCAGAGGAACAACTGCCTGCGTGATTGATAAATTAATAAGATTGGTCACAGGCACCAAAAGATAAGATTTATAATGCTTCAAGAAATTGGTATCAAATCCAAACTCATCCCTTGCTTTAGAACTTCTTAATTTAGAGATTATATTTTCTACTTCATTTTCTGAATATTGAACTTTGAATCTTGAGAAGAAACATCCTTTTTGGTGTCGGTATTCCCAATATTTTGTTGAAGGTCACAAGAATTAGAAAACAATTGTGCAATTTCATTAATGGTACTTGGAAATGGAAAGGAAAAAATCATTTAATTTAGTAGCGAGGCTGAGAGGCTCGGATACCAGTTCACTGGCAAATTTAAGTTCAAGGTCTTTATCAGCATTATGCTTACTGTTTGTTAATATTTTCCCAAATTAGCTTACAATTTCCTTTGGCACTATTAATTAGTCATGAAAAAATTTGCTTTTGCAATTCTCAAAGTTTGTGTGACTTTAATCCTTGCAGATATAAAACTTAATCGATCGGTATTTAATCCAGATTGTAACAATTTTTTAAGTAACTGGTCTCTGAGTCTCATAAGCTGTTTACACTCAGTATTAATCCAAGGCAAGGAATAAACTCATTTCTTTAAATGGCTCTCTTTCTGAAATTGTGACAAGACCCCTTTTATAGCAGAATATTTATTAGTGTCATCACATGATAGTATGCTAGTCCAAAATTATTTAGAGCTACCATTAAATTTTGTTCTTGACTATTTGGAATAAATGTTTTTTTTTTATATTCATGCTTTTACTGACACATCTCAGTCGCTTGACGGAGGCGGTCGCACTTTCTCCTTCTCCCTTATCTTTCCTGCTTGGCTTCTCATGTCTTTCGTATAGTCTTGCTTATTCTCTAACCCTAAGAGAGTCTCCCAGACTTGTTCTCTAAAAACATAAAGAAGAATTATGGATTTGATCAACTGGTCCCTTAACGGAATTGACACCCTCCTGGGCTTGGGAGAGCCCGATTGTCCTGCAGAGACGTTTGCTGCCGGATACTTGATGGTCAGTTGCGTCGTGTGTCTGGCGACACTCTCGATGGAGGACTTTGAATGACATCTACCAATTTGGAACTACGGTAACAGAGTTCTAGCTGATTGGAGCTGGCTTGGACCTGGCTTATCGAAGAATAAGAAGCAACTACAGCTGTTCAAAATACCACAAGGGTTGCCGACATGATAGACGATGGGCAGGGCTGTGAGTACTCAGACTGTGTGTTTTTTTTTTTAAACGTAATATGGATAACATCTTGAAGAAGAACAACGGGAATTGAGAGACCTGGTGGCCAGTGACGGACATTAGACCAACTGTAAAATTGGAAGCAGTTTGTTCGCACTAACCAAAACAACTACCATCTTCATCTCATGTGGCCCCCCTGGCGCCAGCTGGATGCTCATAACAATTCTCCCTAGATAATAAGACTGTTTGTTATGACTCTCTCCCTCCTCACCCGCGTCGACCGAAGATTGTTGACTTTTGCTTAACCAGGTGAAGGGACACTTTCTCTCGGTTGAATACGGAACACAAACACACCGACGCACATATACACATGTACACTGACACAGACCTACACTCACCCCCCACCCCCTCCATACGCATTCAAAGCTTATGTCTTCCATGTTGTGAGATGTGATGATTCATGTGCTGAGGTGTTTTTTCTGTTCTCAAACTGATCTCCCTGTTGGAGCTCAGTCTGGGGGGAGTTCTTTTTTTCTCCTCGTCTTTCCTCATGTTGTGCATTTTCCATTGTTGTCCGGTTCCGGGTCGCTGCTCGTGCGGCTGACCGGCCAGCTACCTAGCCTGACCTGTCTCCCCAATGTGATGTTTGTGTATTGTATGTACGGTCGGCAAGGTCAGTCTCTTAATTGCCCCTTGGGGATAAATAAAGTCTTCTGAATCCTGAATCATTGTTTTACCATTGTTGGAAATGAGTTATTATCCTTGTCATGTTGCCCTGTGAGGTCTGTGTTTTGTAATTGTTTTTAACAGTTTTAGAACTTAGTACTTGGAGCCCTGGCAAATAAGTGTATCAGTAAAGCACTGGTTCAACTTCTGTTGTTTGAAAAATGTGACATATAGATAAAAATGACTTGACTTGGCTTGACTATGCTCACATTTGTCCAAAGGACATTGTTCCAGAAGTTTTGCAGTTTGTTCATATGCAACTTTGCAAAGCTCTCTTTATAGAGAGAAGCTTTCTTCTGGCAACCCCTCCGAACAAGTGTAGTAATCGTGCTGTCATGAACTTTAATATTTCCCATATAAACTGGGGCTTTCAGAGTCTGAAAGCTGTAGCACCTGAATAATCATCTTAGCTGTATTTTAGCAGATTTTATCACCGATTGCCAAAAAACACTTACAACAGAATAGTAGCAACCAGCTGACACTCCGGCAACATATCCGTTCCAGCAGTCTTGACAAACCAAAGAGAAGGAGAGCAGTTTGTTTCACTGAATCATCTCTCATGTCTCTTAATGTTTACTTTAAAACACTCTCTCCCATCACATCTATTATTTCTGCTCTAATTGTATGCAACCTTGCCATTCCCCTCGAGCCAAAACTGCAGAGCTGCCAGTTCATCTTACATCTTTTTGACTTCACTTCACTCTGCTCCTCACTCTGATCTTACACCACATATTTGTCTTTGATGTTAGACTGTGCCTTTCACTCGGAACTTAAGTCACTGGTCTCCATAAGTGGTGGGATGTTTTAATATCCTGATCACTAAAAACACAGTGTTTCTGTTTATGACTGGCACAGGGCCACAGAAGTGATATTCACAGCTTCTTTTGTTTCAAGACTTAGACAAGGCTTAAAATAAGACCAAACAGCGTCACAGTAAATAGATGAAAGAACTAAAATTACATTTTAAAAAAATCAAATGTTATCCAACTAAGAGCAAATCTGGGAATACTAAAAGAAAAAACACAGTACTAATGCAACGTGGCCTGGAACTAAATCCCAAAGTGACATATTTATATTGCTTGGTTTACCTGACTATAAGTCTAATATCCAAAGATATTCAGTTGAGTTTCTTTTTTTATTTAAACAAAGAGTGCCCTTATGTCTTATGATTTGAAAGATTCAGAGGTTGCTCTTCTGCTTTTGTAATAGTCATATCTTTGTCCATTTATTTATTTTTTATACTCTATGCTGTACAATCCTTCCATTTTCTTAACGGTTTATCCACTTCAGGGTTGGTTGGAGCCTATCCTAGTTTTCATGGGACCAAAGGGATGTTACACCCTGGACAGATCACCAGGTTCCTCACTGGACTAATGCAGATACATAGACAACCTTTCACACCTAGGGCCGTTTACGACGAGTTCATGTGCATGTTTTTGTACTGAGCACCTGGAGAGAACCCATGCAGTCACATGTAGATCGTCCATACGCCACTTGACAGCCAAACTGGGTGGTTATTTCAAACCCAGGGCATTTTTGCTGTGAGGCACAGTGCCAAGGATCCCAGCATTATGCTGCCCCTGGTCGTTTGACCAGAACATTAATATGAAAGATAATGACTGGAAGAAGACTTTGTTCATAGTGAGTCTCTCAAATAGATAGCAATCAAGTCTTTCTAGATGCAAGTCTGTCTCCTCAGGAGTAATCTTAAAACCTCTCCTCTCAGTTATGTGGGGAGTTATTTGAAGCACTTTTTAAAACTAATCTCTAATAATCTCAATTTTAAGTGGTGAACAGGACATAAAAACTGCAAGTATAAAATTACCAGTTGACTCTGATAAAAACTTCTTAAAGCTAGTTGTTTTCTGAAGAAAACATCCAGATGTGCAAAAATGACATTGGTCACACAGCCTCTTATATCCTGATGATCAGAGATCAATCCTGCACTCATAGCTGTTGACCGAGTAGGAAGCTGGAGCCAACAATCAGTTAGTCAGCAAGTTACTTGGTTACAATCTCTTATTATACTTCTTTTTTCCCAGTCTTTAATTAAACCTTCAGCAACAAACCAGCAAATTACCACCAGAGAGATTTTGATTTTTATCTACAGACTTTCACACCAAGTTTCACACTTTAGCTCTTCATCAGCTCTGTTACCAGGACTACAATACAGATGTAACGCTGGCTCATCTCTGATAAGAAAAAACAGTCCAGCAGTCAACAGAGGGATGTGTGTAAGTACAGAAGGGAGTCCCATTAGAGGAACCACGTCACATTAAAGCTACCCTCCAAATCTCCAAAGGAATCAATCTCCTAATGTCAATATTTGAATAATCAACCAGCACTTAAGGAACGAAAACATTATAATACTGTGGTTTTATTTCTGGTCATTCCTGATAATGACTTCAGAAGCTGTTTAGTGTTGTTTTGATGGCTTTGTGTGTATCTTTGTTTAGCTGCTTTGTTGTTATAGCTACTGTGTTGTGCTAGTTTATAGTTGAAGAGTTAAAGGGGACCAAGTGTGTTCATTTTCACATTGAGTTCATTGTATTCTTGAACTCTACTAAAGTAGGGTTGCATGAGTCATACTTTCATACATATTCATATCAATTAATGATTATTTATGTTATAGAGGAATTTGGTGCTGCCCCTCATCTTTGGGAAACAACTAATTTTTCACTTTTTAAAAATGAGTTAAATGGTTATTTGCTAAAAAATGAAAGATATGACATCATTATTGATGTTGGCTGTAGTCTTTTATAGGTTGTTACATTAGTTTTAGATGCATCAGCAGAGGAATTACTGAGAGATACAGTGACGAACACTATAACATTCTATGTTCAATGTTTAAAAACTAAACAGGAAAATATATTAAAAAGTCAGAAAATCAACATTCAAAATTTGAAGAACATATTTCATAGTATCTAACCTGGTCTTCATGTCTGGCTGCTGACAGCTGTGATCCTCGTTGTGCTGAGGCGTAAACACACACACACAGACAAAATATAGAAGTATTTAAATAGAATCTAAACCCGTCTTAGCTTCAACAATTTAGTCACAGCAGGAGATAAAACCTCATTAGGCCAAAACCCTGATCTCTAACAGGATAAAGGAAAAGCATTTACATAATAAGAAAGTTAAAAAGGTCAATACCTCATCAGGATGCTGAGACTTGTGGGATGCCAGCTTCAGCTCCTCACTAGGGAAAGAAAAGACAATTCACACATTTGAGGGCTGCACTAAAGGCAGTGTAGTCGGGTCCCAGTGATGTCTGTGTCACCAACACTGCTATATGCTTAAATCTGGTGATTCCCAGATATTCGCATCTGTTAACATCTCACCTATACAAACCCAAGTAAGCATATCCAATACACATCTGGCTAAATATTCTAATGCTTAATGACTTTGTACTGCTACAAGAATCATTACTGATATACACAACAAATATATTAGAGGCTATTTTTGTAAATGATGAAATGATGAATACATTTCAATTAGGGTTGCAACGATACTCGTATCGATATTGAACCGTTCGATACAGTGCTTTCGGTTCGGTACGCATATGTATCGAACAATACAAAATTTTTAATTTATTTTATCAACTTTTCTTCTGATGATGCTGTCTGTGTTGAGAGCTCAGTGGATCTGCGTTTGACTACTCCGCCTAGGCTGCACTGTCGAGTGCAGATCCACTAAGCGCAGCGCAAGCTAGCAAGACAGAAGCTAACATGGCAAATTGAACCTCCCCCACCCTCATTCAGATCTGGCCTTTGGAACTATTTTGGTCTTCATGTGAAGTATGACCCTGAAGGTAAGCGCGTCATGGACAAAAGTAAAACAGTATGTCGGATGTGCCACGCAATGCTCAATTACATGGGTGGGAACTACTGCGTTAGCACAGTCAGCTCGTTAATGTGTTGACGACGTCCAGCCCCACGCACGGGGCGATTCACGGTAGCTCGTTAACGGAGATTTGCCGTGTTGTGGCGTTAACATCATTTCAGATTAACGCTGACAGCACTAGTGGGAACACAATGAATATGACTCCACATTTACACCGACATCATCCTAGTGCAAAGACAAGTGGAAGTAGACAAAAACAACAAACATGCATGCTACAAACTTTACCCGAGTCATTTAGACAGCCGTTAGCACATGATTCTCCTTATGGGGACCTGATATGTTTAATATGCTGCTGAGAATATAGCCCAGAAGAAGCTTATAGTATAGCTTTTATTTTGGAAAGAGCCATTTCTCTGTAATAAACTCTCTTTTCCAAAGATGAGTGATTTCTCGATCAGAGAGATTTATTTTTTTTATTACTTTGTTGTTTCAGCAACATTAAATATAAAAACTGTACTTTTGAGTTAAAATATATATTTATAATTTTAATAAATGACAAATTAAAAAAGCATGAACATTTTTTGTATCGAAATATCGAACCGTGACACCAAAGTATCGAACCGAACCGTGAATTTTGTGTATCGTTGCACCCCTAATTTCAATGATGAAATGTTCATGTTGAGCACCCATTAGTTCCCTTCAACTCTCAAAGATGTCCTTGCCAGCTGATACTCCCTAATCTAAAGACTATAATATGATCACACAACATCTGAAGTAAATAAAAGCACACAGGGGTTATTAGGAGACATTCATATTGCTGTTTGTTTTATAAGCTGTACATGTTCTCCCATTAAATCGCATCTCTCTACAGGAGATGCACTGACCAAGCAGCCAACCCAAATGGTGATTGAGAGCTACATATGGCATCAACCAGAGGCAACAGGCTTGATTCTGAGGCTAATGTGAAAGTACACTAAAGTGCAAAGCCACTGATGGATCTTACTGATGGATCTTGACCTGAAAATAATAAAGCCAATGTGAAATTGCTAAAAGCTGATTATATGCTAGAAGTCAAATTCAACACCTTCCATCATAACAACTGTATGACTCACCAGTTTGGATTGTTAACAATTAACAACACAGACAGTTGTAGCTGATTACTATTTGAAATTTCCAGATACTGAGTGAGCCAAAATTTTGAGAAGATAACCCATTGTAAACCATAGAAAAGTTCAGGGCTGGAGTTAATGTGTAGAAACAGCTACAAAGAGCTTAAGTATTAGATCATATTCAGGCCATCTTCTTTTCTACAAACTTCAGTGCAGTCTTTCATTGGTCGTGCTGAGAAACCAAAAAAGTGTCCCTAAGAACACACTGGCCTCCACTACAGGAACTGTGGTTATGTGCAGTTTGTGTAAACACCTCACTAACTTATTTCTTCTATTCTTTACTGATTACAAAAATTTCTACAGCAGTGTCCAGCTGTTATTCAGACATGTCTGAGCTAACTATGAAAACTCAACTTGCTCATGGACTCAGCTTTTCTACCCAGCTGTGATATTTGAACAATTGTTATTTTCCTATTTCTGAATTAGAATTCTGAACTTTCAGTTCATGTCTATAACTGTCAGATAAGATAAGAGATATCTGTAAAAATGCTCAGTGGATCTTAAAAAAAAAGTTAACCATTACTTCAAATGGATTGTTTCAAAACACGATGGATTTATATTTGGAAACCATTCTCAGACTTTAGAAAAGCTATTTCTATGTCTGTGATGTCTGAGCAGGGACGATCAGAGAGTGCTGTTTGCCCCTCCCACAAAAGCAGCACAGAAAATTTTCAGAAGCTCTTTCATGAACCTAGCTCTCTGGGCCTGGGTGAGGCTTTAACATATTAATGGTCATGAAGTTAGCAGTACAAATATAGGGAGGTAGAGGGCCACCACAGTTTAAGATGTTTTGATGTATGCTCAATTATCCAGGTAAGTAAATCCCAAAAGGTTGATTCTGTTCATCTAGATGTACGATTTTCAGTGAGAGAAACGTTTCGTCGCTCATCCAAGTGACTTCTTCGGTCTCCGAAATCTCTTATGGGAGGCACAGTTCAAGATATTGACAGTATAAAGGACGAACCACCACCGTGACGTCATTTTCTAAAATGTACATAATCTATGTTAAGATATTCTCTGATATAAAGAGATCAGGCTACAACTAAAATGAACAACTGTGCCAAGAGCAATGGCCACTGACCACTGACCTGACTTCAGTGTAAACTGAATGTGAGATTGTCAGTGTACATTATATGCTGTATATACAGACAATTTTCATACAGCCATGATTGTGATGAAACTGATCTCTGACATTTATTAGTTTAGTAGTTTCTGAAAATATAACCAAAAAAGTCAAACATTTTGCACAACAATCCTAAATCTTAAAGTAGTGAAACGTGATGAGCTAATCTACATATTAGCTCTCATCACTAAGAAAGACACGTGTTGTTCTGTGTCTGCTGCCTACATTCACTCATGACACAGTCCTATTTTAAAAGGAGTAGTTTATATACTGTAGTGCTTTACAACTAACCTACCTACACTACACTATTTGACTACAGTGGGGCAAAAAAGTATTTAGTCAGCCACCGATTGTGCAAGTTCCCCCACTTAAAATGATGACAGAGGTCAGTAATTTGCACCAGAGGTACACTTCAACTGTGAGAGACAGAATGTGAAAAAAAAAATCCATGAATTCACATGGTAGGATTTGTAAAGAATTTATTCGTAAATTAGGGTGGAAAATAAGTATTTGGTCACCTCAAACAAGGAAAATCTCTGGCTCTCACAGACCTGTAACGTCTTCTGTAAGAAGCTTTTCTGTCCCCCACTCGTTACCTGTATGAATGGCACCTGTTTGAACTCATCATCTGTATAAAAGACACCTGTCCACAGCCTCAAACAGTCAGACTCCAAACTCCGCCATGGCCAAGACCAAAGAGCTTTCGAAGGACACCAGGAAAAGTATTGTAGACCTGCACCAGACTGGGAAGAGTGAATCTACAATAGGCAAGCAGCTTGGTGTGAAAAAATCAACTGTGGGAGCAATCATCAGAAAATGGAAGACATACAAGACCACTGATAATCTCCCTCCATCTGGGGCTCCACGCAAGATCTCATCCCGTGGGGTCAAAATGATCATGGGAACGGTGAGCAAAGATCCCAGAACCACACAGGGGGACCTGGTGAATGACCTGCAGAGAGCTGGGACCAAAGTAACAAAGGTCACCATCAGTAACACACTACAACGGCAGGGAATCAAATCCCGCAGTGCCAGACGTGTTCCGCTGCTGAAGCCAGTGCATGTCCAGGCCCGTCTGAAGTGTGCCAGAGAGCACATGGATGATACAGCAGAGGATTGGGAGAATGTCATGTGGTCAGATGAAACCAAAGTAGAACTTTTTGGTATAAACTCAACTCGTCGTGTTTGGAGGAAGAAGAATACTGAGTTGCATCCCAAGAACACCATACCTACTGTGAAGCATGGGGGTGGAAACATCATGCTATGGGGCTGTTTTTCTGCCAAGGGGACAGGACGACTGATCCGTGTTAAGGACAGAATGAATGGGCCATGTATCGTGAGATTTTGAGCCAAAACCTCCTTCCATCAGTGAGAACTTTGAAGATGAAACGAGGCTGGGTCTTCCAACATGACAATGATCCAAAACACACCGCCCGGCAACAAAGGAGTGGCTCCGTAAGAAGCATTTGAAAGTCTGGAGTGGCCTAGCCAGTCTCCAGACCTCAACCCATAGAAAATCTGTGGCGGGAGTTGAAAGTCCGTGTTGCTCTGCGACAGCCCCAAAACATCACTGCTCTCGAGAAGATCTGCATGGAGGAATGGGCCAAAATACCAGCTACTGTGTGTGCAAACCTGGTAAAGACCTATAGTAAACGTTTGACCTCTGTTATTGCCAACAAAGGTTATGTTACACAGTATTGAGCTGTATTTTTGTTATTGACCAAAAACTTATTTTCCACCCTGATTTACGAATAAATTCTTTACAAATCCTACCATGTGGATTCATGGATTTTTTTTCACATTCTGTCTCTCACAGTTGAAGTGTACCTCTGGTGCAAATTACTGACCTCTGTCATCATTTTAGGTGGGGGAACTTGCACAATCGGTGGCTGACTAAATACTTTTTTGCCCCACTGTATATAAAAAAGACAGCAGCATAGACAGTGTTGTCAGGGAATTTATGAATCTGGATATTTTTGGATGCCGGAACTAAATGATTTGTTCAGGAAAATGAGTTTAGCCCCATGTAGGTCATTCTTAGGATTTGTGTCAAAGTTAAAACTCTGAAGCTATGTGTGACTAATAGCCCAATCACAGCACCATCTGGGTGAAATATTTAGCTGTCTGCAGTATAATTACATTCCCCATGCCTCTATAGCATCCTGCACTCTAACACAACAGTGCGCTCCACTGTGCAGTTCTTTTTGCATATTCTGTGTTCAGAGGACATCACAAACCTCTCGTCTCAGTTCCAGTTGTGCTTTGTGTTAGGTACTAATTATTCATTTTAACATGCTAAAATAATTAAATGAGATGAGGAAAATGTCAACATTTCACGTGCTAAATATCAGCAGGTTAGCAGTTGAATAACAGCAAACTGTTTTTTTTGTCATTGTTAACAATAGAATATCTATTCTAAATTATATTTCTAAATTCTAATTCTACAATACATTTTTTTTAGATAGTAAAAAATAGGGCATGATGTAAAATGAGTTTACCACTCCTGCTTTAGATAAAAGACGGACAGACCCTGCTTACAGATCTAAATATCTTTTGCTGCCTTCACACTGCAGGAAATCGATGATTATTTAAATGCATGATCACTTTAATTCATATTCCACATAAAGCACAATTTGATCTCAACTGGACTGGATCATTAAAACGGCTGCATACTTGCCTAAAACCTGAAAAAAATGCCCCCATAAGTGTATTCTTTCTCTTAGTGTAAAGACATACAGAAGTACACTCTGAAGACATACATATTCTCACATAATGAGCCATCTATTTACAAGAAAGAACAGCCTGAAAAATAAGTGACATGTCTCATGTAGTGTGTCTGCTTGCTGTCAAGAGTGTTATTTCAAACAAGACTATGACTGAATACTTTCTTCGCAAAGCTAATTTTGATGCTGATTTCAGACAATCATCTCTCGCTTTCATGAATCCCACAGCTGTGATAAATATAAACATCATCTGAACTGTTTATTTATACAGCAAATCCAATTTTCTGCACTCTTCCATTACGCAGGTGGCCTACAGCTGAGTTCTCTATCTTAACACCCCCTGTGTGACCGTTTTAACAGTAAAAGAAAAAGTGAAAGAAATGAAAGCATAAAAAAATATCCAAACCAAATGAAGTTAATGAACAATATTTTTGGCCTTCAAAGATAAAATTACAGCAGCACCAAAATAACACAATCATGACACGTATGTGAGCTACAATGTTTACAGCTGTTCTTTCATAGCACAAAGCCACCTTGTTTCCGTACAAGCCTGAAAACCCTCTCTCTTGCCGTCTCTCTCTCTTTCTCTCTCTCTCACACACACACACACACACACACACACACACAACACACACACACACACACACACCACACACACACCACACACACACACACACACACACACGCACACGCTGATGTCACAACAAGAGAAATAGCCTTGTCGGAGCCAGGCGGTCCTAGGAGGAGAGGAGGGATTACATAACAGGAGCAGAGTGAGGAAGGACGTGCCTCAAAAAGGATGGCGGAAAACATTGTTGGGACAAGGCGGGGTGGAGGTGGAGGGAAAGAAAATGTAAAACAACAATATAAGACTGTAACATGAGTCATCCATTTAGAGAGCTTTTATTTTCAATTATTTAGGCAAAGGCAGAAAAAAAGACAAAATTGTGCTTGAGGAGACTGGAACCGTTACACTGTCACTGATGTCATTTGTTGACATTTTTCATCTCCATTTGCTGCCTCTACATGCTACATATTGATGACTATAATCCAGCCAATTAAATCCATGTGGAGCTCTGCAATTTAAGGGTTCTGATGACTCAAGGGGACGTGTGGCAGGATGATGTAAAGGCTCCAAAAACACACGCATGGACACTACATATTTACACATGTACACAGAGGTACTTGACAGCTTGACAGAAACGCAAGCTCTATAAATAGAGCTCAGCGGCAGACTGGAACTTCACCAGAAACAAAAAAACAGAAAAGAAAAGAAGAAAAAATATGCCATAAGAAGAGAGAATACTTTTATCCTGAATCAAAAGCACCATGTTTCAGCTTACAACCAAAGATATACTGCTGAGTCAGTGCAAATGAAAGACTTTCCACATCTACATGTCAACACCAAACACATAGAAGGAATTAATAATGTAGATAACACGCTGTAAAAAAATGTCCAATTTTAATTCAGATAATGTTTTAAATGAACTTGAGCAGAGAAAAGTCAAGATATAAGGATCATGTGGCTAAGGTTCATGATTCACTATTTTCACACATACAGCTTCTCTACTATTTTTGGAAGAAGGGGTTGATTATTATTTCCATGTTCAATCAGTTCAATCCCAGGAGACGATGTAAATCCCATCAGAAAAGGCAGCTGTCATAAAACATCTGCCGAATCAAACATGCGGAGCTACCTGCTGTGAAGACCTGATGTAAATGAGCAAGCAGCCAAAAGTTGACATGTGAGATTACTGTGTCGACAAAACTGCAGATTCAATCAAGATATTTCAGGATCACATTTTGTGACATTTTTAAGTATAGTTAAGGCCTTAATTTTGCATAAATGGCTCTCAGACTTTTTAAGCATCTGTGAAGACACACTGTCAAAAACATTGCAAACATATACATCCAGAAATGTGAAAACCATAACGTGGATTGTACAGTTAAGGATCTCAAACCTGAATAATGAATGCACACTCAATCTAAATTTCCAGTCAGGTGTCATGATTCAGGAATGTTTAATACGAGTACTACGCAAATGGGCTTTCTTTGCTGTGTTTCTAAACAGTATTGTACATTGTCCTCCACATCCATTATCACACAACAGCATGCTCTGACTAATTGTACTTTCCACAACAATTTAGAGCATATTTACAAGTGGAAGCATCTCTCTAGAGAGTTACACATGTTGCCAATTCAACAGCACATTTGACATTTCAGCTATAAAAATAAAAGTATTTTTGACCCATTAAGGTAACAACTAACAACTGTCAAGCCACATTCTCACACAGTCCTTACTGAGCGGAATTAGAGCTTGAAAATGCAGACTGGATTTTTAATGAACATTTGGCCCCCAGGACAAATTTAGCAGCTCCAAACTAATGAACTGGCTGGCTGGGGGTCACCTTTATGGGAGGCAAGAGGCAGGAAAAAACACATTAGTTATCATGAGTACTCACATTTCCTTGCAGAGGACGCCAATACGCTGGTTTTCTGAGCTGCTCCCCTCTTTTGACAGACTGAGCTCTTCCTGATATTTGGAATTCTGCTGTTTCAAAGCCTCAAGCTGAAGAGGAGCAAGATGGAAGAAAGGAAAGAGGGTGAGAAAGACACAGGGACTACAGGTATACAAGATTACACCTGATCCTTATTATTATTTCTCTAGAGGAAACAAACAAATATTGCAATTGTGTGCTGGTCAGTGATTTTTGGATCCCGTCTGGAGTATTTATGCTTATTTCATCTTGGCTGTAATTAAAGCTGCAATTACTCAAAGGAGTTTTTGTTCTAACAGTGATGCTCTGCAATTTTAAAGAGTTTGGTTTTGTTCTTCTACCTCATTACTTCAGTGTGAAATGTCTCATTTCAGGCTTTTTATCACTAGTGAGGGATATGAGTGTTTGGCCTACCTGTGTAAATGCTATGCATAAATAGCTCAAACAAAGAAGTTACCTTAAACAGGAAAAGGAAAGTCAGAATTCAATACCAAGAGAATGAAGCAAGAAAAAAAAAACAAAAAAACCTTAATTTTGGATAATTAATTTTGGATTTCTTCATAACATTGCGTATGTAACAGTCAGTTAACAATATAAAACTCCACTTCTCATTTGTCCATATATCAACAGAAATCCCTGTCCTACTAAAGACATGTTTATGATCTTTCTTTCACAAAAAAATGAAAGCAAAGGTGAAAAACAGTCCATAAAGCACAGAAGCTGAAAGTAGTGACTGTCAATTTATCTGAATCCCCATCTAATCAATTATCAAGGTATTTACTGGCTGGGATAATCCCCAAAGCTTTAAGTCAGTGACCACACACATGAGTGTCTATGGTTTAATTCTCTCCTTCTCTCCCTTATTTAAATTCCAGCAACATTTTTGAGCTCTACAAAACACACAGATATATTCAACATCTTGTTCTAAATGATCGTTGCATTCCTTGGTTTGCATTCAAGAAAACTGCAGTAAGAAAAAAAGAATATCTGGGTCACTAAGAGTGAGACCAGAGGTAATACCTAAAATACACCAGCAGACCAAAGAGGCAAGCAGACAGCAGCATGAGCTGGAACTAAAAATAAAAGCCCCAGAAAGATCTATTCCTTCAACTTCACTGCAAGAAAACTTTTTTGTTTCCCATTTGAGTCACATGGCAGAGATTCCAAACACATCTGAAATCACTCCTGAAGCTTCAAAGCGCTTCTCGGACACATACAGCGCTGTGATATCAGCTGCTTTAGAACAGCGCCAGTCAATAATTAATTAACGAGTATGACTTTGAAGTCTATGTTTTTGCTGAAACAAAAAAGAAAATAAATACATTATAAAAACCTCATGCTAGCCTTTTAGAGCATGTTTCCATTTGCACATTTACACATTGTGATATTAACTGCAGCTGAGCTTCAGAGTTTTTTTTAATTCTATTATGATAATGTCCAAATTGAATGCATAAACACATGAAGACACACAAACAAGCACAAAATACAGAATTATCCAATAGGTTACAGGCACAGGCAAGGATCATTCACCTGCTTACAATGACCAAGAGATACTACTGTATTAGAAAATGACTGCAGCACTGAAGGTTTTCCTCTCAGTTTGATGTGCTAAAAATAAATAAATAAATAAATCTAACGAATGATCCTACCTGGTAGTGAGGCGAATAGAGGTTGTTGGAGTAACCCTGATGCAGAGCAGCTATGTCCATACCTACACAGCTTACCACTGCTGGATTTCAGATGCGTTCCCTCGCTAAACGACAGCAGTGTTGTGACAATGCCTCCCCTCTCACTCTGTCTATAAAATGCATACACCAACACAAGCCGCTAGGCATCAATAAACCATCAGCTCTCATACCCTGCTGTGCACGACTGAGAGAGAGAAATGGAGAGCGTGTTGCCTGTACAACTCTCTCTCACACACACAGAGTCAGGTTAGGTTAGCACTTCCATTATGTAAGCCTAAATAAGCTCCTCCTCAGACTCCCCCCCACCTTTCTGCAGCTCACAATCTGGTTTGTGCACACCACATGCACACACACGCATGAGAATTTTGACCATTCATTCATTGGTGAATTTCAGCATCTCAGATTGAACCCTCAGTTGGAGACTGCAACAACATGTAATGTACATTCTACCAGACATGCCTTCATACTTTAGGCTCCTGCACTCGTTTAGTGATGTGTTATAGCATGGATACTCTGGAAATCTAACTAGGGCTGCAGCTAATCATTATCCACATGACCAGTTAATGTCTATACAGCAATGCCTGATTCTAGATCAATCAGTCCATAGTTTTAGTTGTCAGCTTTAGGAACCAGCTAATAGAAAAGAAATGCATCTACATGTAGAATTATTTTTATTATTAGAAATACTTATGTTAGGTTATTACACGTTACGGTTTAAATGGTAAAACAGTTTATTTGAAATGAAGATGTTCTTTCCATGTACTAAGTTAGGAAATTACTGCACTTTACTTAAATGTGGTGTATTTGTCTTTATGGCCGGACCTAAATATTACCCACATAGCAAAATTGGTATGGCCCGGATCTGGCCCACACAATGTGCTTACACATTGCCCACATACCACAAAAAATGATGGCCCTTTGGTGGCCCACATCTGGTTTGCCAGATGTGGCCCATACATGGTCCAGCACAAGGCCAGTTGCAGACACACTGCTGGTCCTGTGCTGGCCCAGAACAGTTTCAGCTCTGGCCCCAGATGTCAGCCTAATGTGTACCTCAATCAAGCCATGTAATAACAACAATGTGCCGGAACATAATAGCACAAAAGTAACATGACGAAACTCTGTTCAGACAGTGAATTCTTATGTAGTGCTTTTCTACTCTCCCGGATTACTCCAGGTGCTCTATACAACATGCCACATTCACCCAATCACACACTTTCTCTAAACCGAGTGCTTCCTAACTACATTCATACACATTCACACTCTTTACATGCAGACTGGAGGAACCAGGTATCGAACCACTAGCATTCCGATCAGTAGGTGACCTGCTTTACCTCCTGAGCTACAGCCACCAAGTGGTAAACATGAGTAAACCCTCACTAGGTTTTGGACAAAGTGTACACTCACAAACCTGTCAAACCAGCATTTGAAACACTGGCTACCATAGCAGTATAGTATTGCAACGTGGCATTTGGGTCTTCTAACTAAAACAGGAAAACAGGAACATAAATAGTGCCATCATTGCCAGACCTGGCCCACATCTGGTTGACCTACACCCTACCATGACACCAGTTAGTCAGAAGTGCCAATTGATGCTGTATCTAGGGAAGACCTGTTTTCTATGAGCCTGGGCCACATAAACCACACCACAATCGGGCCAGATATGGCATGCCATTACATAAACAGTGCCATCTATGCCAGACCTGTCTGCTATGTGGGTATTTGTCTATAATGGCACACGGCAAAAATATCAGAATTATTGTTTCATGTCGTCTATAATGTGCCAGTATGAATCTATATTTTACAGAACACAATGCAGACAGAGAGGCCAGGGTAATTTAGAAATGGAGTCATGCTGTTTAAAAGGCAGATCTGCTCCAACCCTGTTATTTACAGTACTCTTTAGTCTTTACGGGACCGTGTGCCACACCATTTTCCTTTCAAATGTAACAATGTATGCTAGAGGTGGGAATCACTATACAACTCACGATACGATATTATCACAATACTTAACGCACGATACGATATTATTGCAATTTTTTAAAATATTTTGCGATATTCAGATTCTGTACATAAAGGTGAACTTTATCAATATTCATTTTATCTAATATCAAAGTCTCACACTCAGTCTTTCTCTCATTTCAGTCAGCTTTATTGTTGACAAACTGAACGGTTTGTATTACAGTCTAGTCCAACTTAACTGAATGCAACCATCTGGTACAATTATAGCTATTCTGAACTATGCAATTTATGAAAACTATGCAGCCCATTCAGCAACTGAAGACTTTGAAAGTAAATTAAAACAAAATATAATTTTACATTACATAAAAAAAGTTTTAAACTTAATTAAAATAAAACATGTCTTAAATTAAAATAAGTAAACTGTCATGTTTATTGCTGCCAAAAAAAAAGTTAAACACATTTGGACAGTGAAGGAATGTCAGGATTCTTGCTCAGAAAAAGGAGCTGATCAACATGCTCTGAAGTCAGAGCAAATTGTTTGTAACAAAATATCGATTTCTGCTGTCCCTGTATCGATACATTATTAGCAAACAAAATATCACGATACTACACAGTATCGATTTTTTCCCCCCACCCCTAATGTATGCTATGTACAGTCATGTGGAAAAGAAAGTATGCCCTATTTCAAGTTTTTCAGGTTATAATAAAAACAGCATCTGCTCCTTAGAAGGTCTTAAAACAAAGCTGAAGTAGATCCTTACTGTTTCCATAGGAATTCAAAGGGTAAGTAACAATCGGGTGCTGCTAATCAAATAAACTAACTGATCATCAGCAAGAGCGGGATGAGTATGAGCTTTGGTAGTTTGCTGGACTGAAGCACTTAGTCCATGTGTTAACACAATGCCAAGAAGGAAAGACATCACCCGTGATCTTGATCTTTCTAAGAGTGGACATCCTAAAAAAATGTATTCAAAGGTCAGACTGTAATATTCAGAGAAACTGCAACATCTCAGACTCTACAGGTCTCATAAAGCATGTTAAATGTTAAAACTGATAACAAAAGGTTAGTATGTCTTTTTTCCCAAAGTGTTCCCAGGAAAAAGGCTCTTCTCTCACACATGACAGCACAGATTAGGTTTTCAAAGCTGCAACTGAACAAACCCCAAGACGTCTGCAACACAGACAAGTCTAAAATGAAGATGTCCATGAAGTTGGTCATAATGCACAGTAACATACTCAATGAAGACCAAACACAGCATATCAGCACAAACGCAAAAACAGGTAATGCTACTCTTTCAGAATATTTGGGACTCTTTCATAAGTAATCTAAAGTGATAAGACCTCTGTGTTGTGTTCCTGAGGATCTGTCTATAAAAAGCCTCTTGTGATTTTAATTTGGTGCTTTTAAATTTGTTAGGCAGCTGAACGAAAAATAACATGCTTACCGGTAATTAGAGAACTGCACATTAAGATGATCTGCAGTCAGCCCCTTTTTTCTTTTTCCTTACTTTTCATCTCTGTATACATATTAGAATGCTCAGAGTAGGAATTAATTCAATGAAGATATTAATGAAAAAAAAAACTATAATAACTTGGACACAACACAAAACACAAAAGAGACTGATCTCAAGTCAGTTGTTTATACTGATGCATACTGATGTAATGTTGCCATCACACACACACGCTCACACAGCAGCTCACTCTGACATGTGCAGTGTTACATCACTACCTACAGCATCATGGGTGAGTGGAGAAGAGAGCTGGACGTAAGAGCATCTCTGCTGAATAATTGCTTGATCACGTGAGTGTTAGTTTTAGTGCACAAAGTCAGATTTCTCCCTCCTGCAGCTACCAAAAAATTTGGAATTAAAATATACACACGTGAATTTGATACATGCTACTATTCAGCAGTGCTGGCAAACAGAAAGAAAGCATCCAAAATGTAACATTTATACTGAATTAAAACGTCATTGATGAAAGCTTAAATAATTTACACAAAGAGGAGTTGAACTGTGCAGGAGGTGCTTATTTTGAGTGCTCACAGTTCTAATTATGTAACTTCAAAATGACTAACATTTACTACATAAATAACCAACAAGGTAAAATTCTATTTTAACCTTTAGAATGACTAACAAAAAATATTTTACGAAAACTGCATAAAATATTATGTACAACATATTAAAATAGAAAATATTACGTAGTTAAATCTATGTAGAAATGTAATTTGTATATTTATTAAATTATTAGGGATCCTTCGTCCTTTTAGAGACAACTGACACCAAATGGACCTTAGCTAAAAATATGTATCCATTTCCAAAGCTCACCATGTCTCAATGGTAGAATAACACACTGAATTGTCAATTTAAACTTGCTAATGAATGATTAGCAGAAACATTGTAGTTTTATGTTTAAGTCTTAGTTTTAGCTTTTCAATTATTATAATGTGGGTGGTATTTTTGCAAGACTTATTATAGGTATTATAATACAAACATAAAACTTCATGTAGTGCCGATATTTCAGTCACAATAATTATCTGCAGCAACCTGCTATCTTCACATTTAAACACACTGACAAAGACAAAAACTGGAAATTTCATAAGCACACGATATTTCGGTTATTTTTTGTCTTTTTCAATTGCCAGTTTTTTATTTTTATTTTAGTTTAAGTGTTTTTTCATATCTAGTGTTGCTGTTTAGCTTAGCTTTAGTTAAATATAGCTAAGTGGAGAGCAAACATGCTACCTCTCCTGGACCATGAAACCCTCTTTAGAGAATCAGAGAGAAAGTGAGAGCAGACATCCGATAGAGAAAGAGTGGGAGAGAGGACAGAAAAAAATGGAGATTAGGCAGGGGTCATAGATGACTTAAATCATGTCAAGCTGGTGTTATATTATATACTCAGTTTAAGTTGACTCAAGTATATAAACTTGCCACTGGAGTAACAGGGGTTTAGAAACAAGCCATAACTTGCTTGTCATCAGTATGCACATACAACTTTGATTATATATGTAATCATGTTCTTATAATGTTAATTTAAGTGTCTCTTTTTCTGCTTACACCAATAGGATGGTATTTTAATTATCCATGAATTCATCAAGTAACAAACGGTATAGAAAGGAAGCTGTGTTCAAATTCCTTCAGTACTTCTCTGTAAAACAGTGGGAGAGTACAGCTGCAGTGCTGATCAAAGTGTGTAGGAAAAATGCTGGGCCAATAAATTATATAGTTTATGTCAAACATAAAGCATGTTTATGTTCATTTTTCATTTCCTACTCTAATCTCCTGTGCATTTCTTTTGTAGTGAGGAGATTCGCCATCTGGAGCCCACAGGCAAGCTGACAAATAGCAAAGATGAACATGCATTATTTGAGCAAGAGCCATGCAGTGAATGATCCTCTGCATGTGGAGTGCAAACGGAGTAGAGCTGCTGAGTATAAGATAACAAAAATATAAAGTTACAGCTGAAAGTGCAAGTCGCAAACACAGGAAAGCATAGAAGGAGGAAATACAACAAGAGGGATGGACTGTAGTATTTCATGGGTGGCTGATTAAATACGATGACTGGCCCAATCACATGCGGTCGGTGTGGGAATGTTGATGTGAATATGTAACAAAAACCCTGCAGGCTACAGAAGCTGAACTGATGTGCATGTGCAAGTTCTTTCACGGGGTTGTGGCGACATGAAGTAGAACACAAGCATGTGACACTGAAACTGTACAATACCAACAGCAAAGGGTCAGAGATGGATTAAATAGTGTTTGCTGCTCTAATGCATAATTCAATAATTAAAGGAATTCCTGTTTACAACTAACACATCCACTGTGTCATAGTTGATAGTTTTTGCTATTTTAATTTCATGCAACAAACAGCAGCCACAAAGAACCAATGATTAGATGCTGGTGTAGCTCTGACTGTTCATTACTGGTTATAAATGCCATCCACCTGCCAGAGACTACAGATTAAAATTAATTAAATCCTTAGATTCATGAAGAATTACTGGTATTTCATTTCAATTTGGACATATAATTAATTATTATGAAAACTAAAATAAAGGGTAAATAATTTTTTAAAAAGTGTAAATAATAATAATAATAATAAAAAAATTAGATCCGGAGGGCACACTGTTTAACACAGTTTTGCTCATGTTTACATGAACTACTCCTATGTTACAAAGTTGGGGTTGGTGAGGCTTCTCCCACTTTTTAAGTGAGAAGCACAATTCAAGGGGGCATTCCAGTTGATTTAAACTAAAAGGTAGGATTTCTGACTTCCCACTTCAAATGGAACGCAGCACAAGATATAGTTAAGCAGCTCTGATCTGCCCTACAAAAGGCTTATGCTCAAGCAATTGACTGAGCATAAGCTCAGTCAATTGCTGGAGTTGCTGGAGCATAAATGCTAATGTGAGATATTGTTTCAACAGCCAAACGGTGTTAGTCTATTAATAGAGGAATCCGTTAAATGTTGAAGAGGAAACACATTACTTTAAAATATATTTGGCAATGCTTTTACAAGCTATTTTGGGAAACGTTGTTGTCGCCTCGATCTTGTCAGCATCAAGCCTATATGCAACATTTTTGCATTTTCATAAAAAATAAAAAAATAACATAAAGACAGCTATAGAAAATATTTTCAACTGATTGATTAGCTGCAGCCAAGAATATCTGTTAGAGACAGTCATCATGTCGGGTGACACAATCAATGGCTCAAAATAAGAAACTGCTTTGGTTTGAAACAGCTTGAACTTCTGTAAACTCTGATCAGTGCACACAAAGTAGAATAGCAAGTGCAGTAACTATCAGGGAGGCAGGGCTCAGCTAACAGCTAACACTGGTGAAAGAGAAGATAACAAGACCAAGGGATAGAATAGAACTTGTAAAACCACTGTGTTGACCTCAGTCACAGCAGTGTGTATCCACAGTATCCACAGGTGATAAACATCATCCCACATATGTCCAATGAAAGCCCTCTGCTCACCTGTGTCTCCAGTGTCCTATTGTCAAGGGTCAACTGCTCCAGCGAAAAGGCCAACCTCTCTGACTTTTCAGTGGCCTGGAAAATATAATGCAGCCAGTATGAGATGTATGTTATAGTACAGAAAGAAATGCACATGTTTAACAACAAGCCTATTTTCCCTCTGGATATATAAAAACGTTCACATACAAATTTTTTCATTAATTATTCACTAAATGACACTTTGGGTTAAAAAAAGCTACCAGGTAGAGTGCGCCTCACACACTGTGGTAGATTTAGTCACTGTAGAGTTAATGCATACACCTTCCCTGAGTCTTGTTTCTGTTTTGGATAACTAAACAAACCACTTTTAAAAAAACTAAGTACAGAGTCAAACAGAGTCATATTAGCACTCAAAAACAGTACTCTATTAATAGAACAGAGCGATTAGAACTCATTAAGGATGTTGGCTAAAAAAGGAAAGTCAGCCTCAAGATTCTCCTGCTGTTTCACCCTTACATTAATCTCTAATGGGTTTCTTGAAGCATGAACAGAAGTATGAAAGCTGTGGCTTTAGGCAAAAAAGAACTGCAAACTGTCCGGTCTACTTTCAGAAACAAAAGCAGTAGAAAAAAAGACTACATGCATTCAGCAGATATTCATTAGCAGGAAAAACTGTCTAGTTTTTCAATTTTTCATTGCTGCATTTATACATTTTCTCCCACCATGTTTGATGTGTAAAAAAAAAAAAAAATCTGAAAAAGAGACCACTGGGAATGTAAAAGTAGTAAAGGAACAAAAGTCTTCTATAGGAATTGTTGTAGTACTGTTTCATAATCTGGAGCAGGCGCCACGTTGCGGAAGCCGCCATGTTGCCCCACCATCTTGAATATTGTTGCCTATATGGGCGTTGTTATTCCACCTAATTGCGTTTTATACAGTATATGTGGCTAGAGATCGGCCACATGCGTAGTGTGCCTTAATTTAACAATAACAGATAGCTCTTTAAAACTATCTCTCTAAAAAAAGCAGCAACTGTAATTCCTCTCAAAATGTATGGAAATAATACTGTGAATAGTCAACGGTAACTTTATTGTTCCCAAACACAACAAACACACCAGACACACACACACAAAAAAAATTCATGGCAATAAAATTATAAGAAATTACAAGATGTACAATTTCACTCATAAATTCAATTAAAATGCCCAAATTACCAAGATAATCAGTCACAATAAATTGTTAAATGAACCATTTTACTTATCAGTAATTTGTATCAAATTAGGGTTAATATCTTGCCAACTTTTCTTTCTAGAGAATTACTATGAAATTACTCTAAATATTTCTTTTTTTTTTGTACGGTGTTAGGACAAATGTTTGGATTGTGGGTATGGCCTTTTACAGTCAAATGAACAGATGTAAATGTAAATGTAATACAGTAAAAAAAAATAAAAAAAAATATTAATGAAAATCAAAAGTGAGTAACGTCAAACTGAACCTCTTGAATAAGTGTATTTTGTACATGTGCACACCTACCTGTGTCAGCTGGGCTCTCAGCTCTTTCTCCCTGGAATGATTCTCCTCCTTCAGGGTCTGGTAGTCTTTCGTTGAACGCTCCACAATCTGCTCCAATCCTAACAGAAAAGAGATAGCAGCTTTAACAAATCACTCACTGAAATGAGAATAAAGGTAGCAGATATACAGCAGATATGTTTACCTTGCATTGTCTTTGCTGCTTTCCTGTTCTCCTCCTCAGCTGTCTCAAGTTTTTCTCTCTGAAACGGAGAGGCATCAGCTTGACCACGAGCTAATCACTCAAACAGCAGCATTCTTGAACCTTGAGCTAACCAGGGAATAATGACTGGCTCCAGAAAGCATACAAGGTTGTTGGATGAAATTCTGCTCTCAACGATCCTCACAAACAAAAACACAGAGTGATTAAATAAGACGAAGCTACAGCTCCACGAACCACCCGCACAAACATTGCACTTCATTTAGAAGATGTGCTGAAGAGTTTAAGCACAACTCATGTTCTTGCTTTTCTGTCAGTGATAATAGCAAAACGACTGACTCTGTAACATTATTGTGACAATTCAGACCAAAACATTACTATAATAATTTTAACTTTTATTTTTGTGATTGATTCATGTTTCTTGATTTTTGGCACAATTGCCAAAATATCCACTTGCATATTTACTTAGAGTTAATTCTCAAAGTAAATAGCCCTGTACATCAATACAGCAACAGTTACTGAGGATTTCTTTCTTTTATTATACAGCACAATTATTTCCATGTGTTCCTCATGCTTGCTCCATATGGAACATATTAATTTTCTTGTCTTTGAATCTTTAAGGATGTTTCCCAATAGGTCTGGCATTTTCATTTATTATATATGCACTCTTGTGAGCGATGACAATATAATATTCACTTACTAAACAGTCACAATCTATTCATCCTGTGTACCAGCTAAATGATCACCTTTTAAATGTCTACACCAAAACTTCCTCCAGCTATTTTGATGAGACAGGCCTTATGTCAAAGTAGTAATTGCTGTTCAAAGTTAAAAGATCAAATTTAGGAGTTAAATGTGCTCTATATCCTGACACCACCATTTTCTATTTAAATGCCGTTGAATTGAATGGGGTTAACAGGATGAGAAAGCTGTATCGCTTGTTTGTTTTAGCCAAACATCTGTGGTCTTTTTATAGATGCCTCATCACTCCAGCCACTCACGCACACACTCAGACCTTTTGCACTGCTTCCAAGCACTTTCTTCTCCAATGTCTGCCTCTCTAGTGTTTTGTACACATTCCTCTTGTATAGTGTATATATTGTATTATATATAATTCTCCTGTCTGTTATTTATTCCTGCATTCCTGTACAGTTGGCGTGGAGCACCCATAATTTCATTGTACATGTGCAATGACAATAAAGGGCTGTTCTATTCTATTCTTTTCTATCCTATTCTATTGTCAGTAGGCAAACTGAATAAGCTGTCAGTAAGTACTGTTTGTTGAGTTCATACAGTAAGCCACAGGTAGCTGAAGAAGTAGTTTTTTAACAATGAACAACTAAAAGCAGTTCATTTCTCACAAGATTTAATAAACAGTTTATTTAAAAAAAATCTATAAAATTATTTTATGGGTCAGGCTTTGAAGGGTTAACATAATCACAATAATTGCATTAAGAAAAAAATTATATACAATCAAGATTTTAAAATTAATTTTAATCCTGATCCTAATATATAAAGTGTTAAGAATGTAATTCCTGCAGTAAGTAGTTCAAAATAAAAATAAATACCTGCATTGATTTGTAATATATATATATATATATATATATATATATATATATATATATATATATATAAAAATATATAAAAATGGGAAACAGAGCAGTTTAACTTTTATTTTACCCCAATTAGTTTTTAATTTGTAGTTCATTTTGACCTTTTTTTGTACTTTTTTAAAAATAATGTTTACACATTATAAAAATTCTGGCAAATATGAAGTTTACAAACTCTGTATAAATGTATTAAAATAACATGCTTGTCATCATCAGTACTATCAATTTGTCTCAAAGGCCAAATAACTAACCATTTCTCCCAGTTCTTTTTGGAGCGGTATAGAAGTAATTTCTTCCATATAATGTATATGTTTGAAAATATTAACAGACAGTGTGGCAGTAGGACAATTTCTGAAGCCAGTGTCTTGTAATGGCTTGTTTGCATGCTGCTTCCAGAAGCTATTTTTGTCAGCACTGCTTAGTCCATCAGGGTTATAACCAAGATCTAAGATCTAACCAAGTTCTACAAACATTAAAGCCCAAGACTTAAGAAATAATGGTTGTTACTTCCTTCCAAACAGGTAGGACAAAGGTGCCAGTCAAAATTTATGGGCATGATCAACATTCCTGCCAGCAAGCCTAGATGGGTGACAGTTTACTTCAACCTTTGTTTGATTTGTCAAGCCGATATGTCTGGCTCAAGTTTCTAAAATGAATGAGCTTGCACTTTTTAACAATCTTACACACAGGGGCAATGGAATAATATGCACACTGCCCAAATCTAGGATCTTGCATCACTGATTCAAACTCAGGATTTGTACTCCTCACCTACAACAGAAATATGGGCTAGCTGAGCAAGCAGTCTCATTGTAATGTTAACGTTTGTAAGTGAAGAATACAAAGACTGGATGCAAACGTTTCACTAAAACTAAATATGTTCATTACAAGATTAAGAAAATCCCAGTCAATCCAATCAAAAGCACTCAAACTGAGTAGAATAACTTTTTCCTTTTTTTTTTTTTAATTTGTTCAATAATGTGTAACACTTTCCTCACACTGTCTTGAGTTTGCATCTATTTTTTTTATTAATCTAGTTTAATCCTCACTAGTTTTTCATTTTCATTTTTACCAAGTTAGGGAGGGTCTAAAGAATTTTTTTAAATCAATAATTGTACTGAGAAAACAAGAATTTATACGATTATTCAAATGATTTTTGTATTTAATCCAGACTACAAGTAGTGTTATGCATGACTGTCTCTCTTATAGATGGTTTGTTTCCTCAATCTCCAAGCCTGCAGTTTTGTTGTTTTGGGGATGATCTAATAATTTCCTTACCTCACAAATCCTATGTCTTTCTCCACCTACTCACTCATTTTGTGTACTTCTTATTTGTTTCTGACTTGTAATGCATTATGACAGCTATTTTATTGGCAATAATGCTCTCTGATTTTTTTTCATTTTTGTTTAAGTTCTATGGTTTCTACTTTAAAATTATTTCCTTTTGTTTTAGTTTTATTCATTTTAAGTTTCTTAAATTATTATAATATGTGAGGTATGTGTCAGAATAGAAGAATATAAGTGCTATTACAATAAAAACGCAACACTCTGCTTTTATGTAAGCCAACCTGTACATTTTAAATAATTTTCTATTAATGTTTTTAGGCCTTTTATATTTTTATACTTGCTTGAAAAGTTCACAATAAGTTAGATATTAATAATTGAGACCAATGTAAAAAATAATGTAAATGTGAGTTATCATAACAAAGAGCTATGTTTGTCTACGTTCTCTTAGATGTATCACTTTAAAAGCCATTATTATTGACAGACAGGTAAAGTATACAAGTTCAAAGATGGGCTACAGTACATTGTCATTTCTCTGAACATGTGTATTGTATTTATTTATGTCCAGAGTCTCTTTCCTTCTTACCAGACTGGTTAGCTGTTGTTCCAAAGACGTCTTATCCTGCTGTACAGACTGAAGCTCTTTCTGCTTGCTCTCCAGGTCAACACTCAGCTCACTGATCTGTTCGAAGCACACAGTATAGACCATAAAACATACACATGTATATCTGTATAGAGCCATAAATTATGCATCATCACAGTAACTTCAACAGACCACACAGAGTATCACATTTTACTAGATGGTGGGTTGAATGAAGAGTGTTATACCAGTTCTTCTGATTTTACAATCATGTAACAATTTCAATAATAATGATAAATGATGACTAACACATTCAACAAGCAATTATGTTTCTTATAAAGCTGTGGCACAGGAATCGCTGAACAAAACACCATAGTCAAGAATTCTCTGGTGCTTTCTACAAACCTTCTTCTCCTGAGACTGAACCTGTGCCTTGAGGCTGCTGATTTGTTGCTGTGACAGAGACACAGCATCCTCCTTCTGCTGGGACGCCCGGAGCCTGAGCTGGAGATCTGCCACCTCCCTCTCTAGCTCCATTATCCTGGAGCGCTCAGACACTGTGGCCACCTACAGCAGAAAGCAGAGTCATGAGGAGGCTATGGGGCAAAGAGGAGACAGGGGGCATGAGAGAGGAGATTAGTAGTGCCTGCTCATATGTAATCATTTGCTTGGTTTGTCCAAAATGCAAAGACATTTACTTTACAGTCACATAAGTAAGGGAAACACATTAATTTAATTATTAATTTATAGCCTCATTTTCCTTTTTCATACTTACCTAATTAATTAGGGAGCCTACGGTTACTTAGCCTACTTGGGTCAGAAATCAATTAGACAGAATCTGTAAGATATGTCACCATGACATGACATGAACCTAAAACAAGCAGCTAGCTTAGCTTAGCATAAAGACTGAAAAAAGTGATGGAGCAGCCACAGTCAAACAGCTAAAAGCTGCTGTTTATGACGATTTCTGCAACTTTATCATCTTGTTAAATACGGTGTCGAAATGTATGAAATCTTCATATTCAAGATATGGCGCTTTAAAGGGAACCGCTGAATTTTCTTCCTGTTATAGACACCACAGAATGGTTATTACAACTACAGCTATTGCAATTTACCCCTGTTTGGCAAATGTATTTATTTTCATGACTGAATAAATGTTAAGTATATTATGGACGTTATCTTGGGGATAATAGAAAATATAGTCATGCTGAACATCAAATGGGTTATTTTATTGGCCTTAAGAAGTAAAGGTTTACTGAATATCAGTTTATTTGTACTTTTAAAAGAATGTATTTTTAAATATGACATATAATTGAGTAAAACATATCACAATGTTTCTCCCTTACATTAATGTGTTAGACATAAGCCCTATAATGAATGACATTTACTGTTATGAACACTACAGCCTGTAACAATCTGCACTTTTGCTATTTAATTGTGGCTGAACCAAGTAGGTATTAAATAGCCTGTTGCGGTACAAAGAAATTCCAAAATGCACCAAGGAGTAGAAATGAATACATATTCAGTTATTTGAATCTTTGTGTCATCTGACAACTTATATTCTTTAAGTTAAGCTAAACTAAGTAGCCTCTGTACATTTCATTATACAATACAGGTACAAAAATCTTGAGCCAACCCTCATTTCCAAACCTTCCAAAGCTTAGTTTTTAGCTTAGATCTTTTTAAGGTGGTCTTAAGCAATATTTCTCCAGGCATTCTGGAGGTCTTTCAAAGTTCTTCTTTGAACTCTGCCTACTTTTGCCCACATTTTCAGTCAACTCTTTGTACCTCACCATTTTCAAAGGAAATCCCACGCAATCTTTCACAAAAACACAATTTATTCAATTTCTTTACCTGAACCCATAAAAACTGCCAACAATAACAGTTTGATAGGCATAAAATTATATTACTGAAACAACGTGATTCCCAAAAAGCTATTAGTTTAAACCTTAGCATATGACATATATTTATATCTTGGCATATGGATATGTACATAGTCTCGTTAAAAAAAAATGTTCTGGGGAAAATGGACACGTAAAGAAGAAAGGACGAAGTGGCAGCCCCAAAAACTACAGTAGAAGTAACGCATCTGAATGTCATGTCAATAAGAAGCAGGAAAAAAATCCAGCAAAGACTTAAAATAGGACCTGAGAGATGCATATGCCCCTTCAGTTGATTCATCTACTGTTCACTAAATCCTCATCAGAAATGGTCTCAATGGAAGGGTGACTGTCAAGAAGCCATTCTTAAAGAAGGAAAAGGTTTAAGTATGGTAAATTACACAATAACTGGACTTCTGGATGGTGATCAATCCAAATTTTAAAACCTTGATATTACATACAGAAGAGGTCAGGAGAAAGCAATGCTCACTGTTGTACCTATCTGTAAAACATGGTGGAGGTTCTGTCACAGTGTGGGGTGCATTTCAGCCAGTGATGTTGGAGATCTTGTCAAAGTTAATGTAATTATAAATGGATTTTGATCCACCACATAATACTACTTTGAAACCATCTGATTGGCAATGCAACATTTTTCAGCATGGCAAACACACTGTCAATGCAATACACACACACACTGGAACACTATGAGTCCCGGCTTGGCCTCCCCATAGCTCAGAACTCAACATTACAATATTGAAGCAGTGTGATCATCTTAAAATGTAAAAATGTTTTTTTTTTTTAGAGCTTTAGAATGTCCCTCAGGAAGCCTAGAGAAATATTCCTGAAGACTTCAGTTCAGGTTGTGTTGAAGAATAAAGGTGGTCATACCAAATATTGGCTTTAAAGCTTGTAAGAATGGTTTAAACTCTGTTTTTGCCTTATATACTGGATTTCCATGTGTGTTTGCACTTGTTTTAATAATAAAGAGATGAGGGATGGCTTAAGACCTTTGCACAGAGAGAGAGATTACATCAAGAACTTTGGCTATACAACTGGCTAAAACAAACCAAACATTCATTCATAAGAAAAAAATCCACTCCCACTGGAAAGAGAGGTGGCAGATCTGCAGCAAAGTTCCAACAACCAGCAGAAGACCTGGTCCAAATGGGAATTTATTGCTTTACTACAGAAGCGTTTGACTCATCAAAAATATGTCAAAGCTTCAGGTTAAAAGACATAGGATGGGAGTCTTCTACATTTATCTTAAGGTCAGCAAGTCCCATGAAAAGGTCAGGTAGTGAAAGGCTCAAACACATACTATTTGTTTGCTCTCCAGGGCTCTGATGGTTTCAGACATCAGATATCTGAAATATGATCATCTCAGGGCCTTCAGGTACAGACCCCCAGTCTAAAACAGAAGGTTTGTGAGGAGCACAAAAGCTGGGTTTAAAGAGAAGGACACCAAAACAGTTGTTAACATTGTTTCAAACAGTGACCAGTTGCAACAGGACCCAGCATAAAATAAATATGAATTATTTTCAACTTTGAATCATGCAAAACTACTCTAGTAGAGTCCCGGAATAATTACATGACATTGACAATAAGCATAATAGGTATACTTTCATCTGTCAGCTCCCTACATTGATAATGTTTGTTTACACCTCCTGCATACTCTATCACATAGTCCAAACATAACAGTGCATGTCATAAGAGCACATCTGAAGTGGACTATCTCCTGTTGTGTGCTACATATGGGAAAGGACAACGTCACCGATTTAATGAGCTAACTGTCCTGAAATTGTTGCGAAATCGTGCCCACACACCTTTATTTACAGAATAAAAATGATAGGGCACGGAACTGGTTTCAATATTCGGAATTAAAATGTATATGAAGCAAAGCAACATATTGTTGACATCTCTACATTGTTAGTTTGTAAAGTTTGTAAAGAAAAAACATGATTAAAGGCAAATCTGTGCAAACAACAAGACTGATCCTTTGTTTCTTTGATGCTATGCATCAGTGAGTTATTGTGAAGGATGACATCTACAGGAGTAATAATGTTACTGGTAAAGACAAGGCAGTATTCTCAAACAGACTGCATTTTACACCACTTTTCTAGCTTCCAAGCACTCACACAGCTGTGACACACTGTTTTGTGACTCAGTACTTTGCTCAAGGACACTCCGAGATATAGAGTGGAGGATGTTGATGGCTTATTTTCTGAGACAAAATCATGCAAAAATGCTTGATTTTGCTCTTTTCATGGGATTTGTTGATAGGAGTAAAATGTTGAAGGATTCCACCCTTATTTTTTAAAGCCAACTAAGTCTAAAGAACCATAATCTCCAAAAAATATCCTTTAATAAAGCTTTATGCACATATGTATATTGTTTAGTATAAACAATAAACATGGGTTATCTGGAAAGCTCAAAGCAGATGAAATGTTAATGTCCCTATTGCAGGGCTGTGGACAATTTGCATGGTGTTTGCATGCTGCAGTTCCTTCAGTATATGCCAGTTGTGATTATTAAGTCTAGAGGGGGAAAAAGGCTGTGGCACTACAACTGCCAGAATTACCCTAGTGTCCTCTAAATCCCTCTGGAGTTTTTCAGCTTTGGTCTTTTCAAAGAGCAGGCTCTGCTCAAGCTCCTTTATGTGGACATGCTCCAGCCTGGTCTGCGTCTGTTAGTAAAAGAGAGCAGGAAGAGAGGAAAAACAAACACCATTGCGAACACTGAGCTGCCAGCTTTGTGCCACAGACAGAAAGAAGGCAAGACTTTAAAGAGAAGACCAGGAAGTACAAAAGCACTGATGGTTTGCAGCATTTCAGCTTTTTTGTTTGGAGTATCCAGAGTTAGTTACTGTGATCATCTCTTTCTTTCAGATACTTTTGTTTCCATTTCATGAAGCAATTGAACAAGACTAATCCGGGAGTGAGAAAGATGCAGAAAAGACATGCACGATGAAGGCATAAAAAAAGTGAAGACAAAAGCGGCATTCAAACACAGACATGTGGACAAACAGATGATGAGAGTAATGGTAATTTAAGTGCTGCAGATGGGTAGAAAAATCTGAGATGAATAAATGAAAAGAGCAGGAATAGAACACAAGTCTGAACAAAAAAAGATAAATGATTGATAGAGTGCAGGAAAGGCAAAAACATTATGCAGCAAGTCTGATTTAATCAACTTCTCATTTTTTGGAAGAAAATGATCATCAGCTTTATGGTGTCATCCTAAGTTGTGAATTAAAAAGAGTCAGGAATCACAGTGAAAATCAAACTAACATGTCACTCAGTGGAACGCCGAGTTGACAGTGATGATAAACTATTCATCTTGGTTGGAGTCAATAAATCATACCAGACTTTCATTAAAGAAGTATCAGCCTGATCAGTGAGAGGCAGACAGCTCGGGTGAATAGGACAAGTGAGAGAACATGTTTAATTGAGAATCGGATTATGTAACCACATTTACCTCGAGGTCTCCCTTGGTGATGCATGCCTCTTCTACTCGAAACTGTAGGTCCTCCACTTTCCTGTCAAACAGGGACAATAATAAAATCTTCTAAAATCACAACACACAAGTGGCTCAGTCATTAAAACCCTACAGATTTACTGAAGAGCTGGAACAAGCTGATACTGCCAGTCATTCTGGCAGCCTTCTTATTTCAAAGAAAGAACCTTCTCTGTGAAAACAGGATGCTGCTCTTTTTCTCCCTCTTGTATTAAATGAGGCATTTCCAAAGTATGCATTTCAGGGCAGACGGTATCGTTGTCATGTGGATGACAATCAGAATGATCTACCTGCTACAACTGACAGTGCTCATCCAGAAAAAACTGACTATTTAGAAGACAGCAAATCCTAAATGGCAAAAAATTCATCTTAACTAAATATACAGCAAAATTAAAGTTATTTTGCTAATATCTTTGCTCTGTTAAAAGCTTAACGGGTGCTTGATTTTCTGTTGACATATGCACAAACTACAGCTAAAAAGCTTTTACTATGTAAAAGCAATTGCTAAATTAAAGCAAGTTTAATTTCCTAAGGACTTAGAAAAAGATTCCCATGCTTGTCTCACCTCTCAGCTGGACTAAGATGTAACTCTCTGTGTATAGGTTTGTACAGGTTTAGGCTGTGGCTCAGGTGAGGTCGCAGGTCACCAACCAGGTGATAGATCAGTCTTTGATTCCTGCTGTCTTGGGCAAGATACTGCACCCAAAGCTGCTCCCAGTGGATCAAATGGATGAAGTCTGCTTATGTGAATGGGAGAAAGCGCTTAGGTGTAGATAAAAGCGCTGTAAAAATTAATTTGTGTGTGACTGGGTGAATGAGACTTGTAGCAGAAAGAGTTTTGAGTGTTTAAAAAGGTACTATATAGGTATTAGTCAGTTTATTATACTTTTTCCTGATTAAAATTTATTCAAAACAAAGCTGCTAGAAGTTAAAAGGGTACAATGAAGAGGCAACACATCACTACTGTTTTAGCCCAGCTGCCCTGGGTACCAGTGTACTATAAAACCAAGCTTTTTATAGATCTAGTAATTCCATATTTTGTCCCCAGTCATCCTCGAAAGAACTCCTTCCCACTCTTGCCTAAATGTTGCTTATCATGCTAAGCTATTCTTAAGTCCCAGAATATAGATATGGAGCTGGTTATAGGTAAAGTCAAGTCAGCCACCTCTTCTCCTCCTCCAGCTGGTTGAGCAGCTCCACTTTGTCTCTATCTGCTGCTTCTACCATCGACCGCAGCTGATCCATCTTGGCCTCCATCTCCACTGCGTACTGCGGCATACAGAATTAACATGAGTGCACACATCACAAGTAAACTGTTAGATGTTGGTGACAGACCACACTTTGTTTGACCTACTGATGCCATTTTCAAAATGTGATATTGTTTCATTTTCTTATTTATTTATTCTGAAATTCTGAACTGTTCACGTGTCTCACCTGATCCCGGCATTTCCTCAGCAGAGTCAGCTCCTGCTGCACCTCTCCTGCATGGCTGGTTGCTTTTGCCACCTCGCACCTCTCCAGGTCCCTCTCTGCCAGCAGCTGCTCGATGTGCTGCTGCTTCTCCTTCAGAGCCTCCTGCAGGGCTGTGGTGCCTGAAATCTTACGAGCGTACCGAGCTGACGTTTCTGTCAGCTGTAAAAATGACACAAGCACTCGTGAATCACACTGCAGATGTTAAATCATGCACCACGCAGATTAACCAGATATCTCACCAGTCCTGCTCGGCTGGGTTTCCCACTGATTGAGGAGGTGGCGGAGCTGATGGAGCTGATGGAGGAAGCGCTGGGGCTTCTTTTGAGAATGGACCTCCTCCGTGAGCTCTTTGCCTTGGAAGGGGTGGTACAGGGGAAGCCAATTCGGGTCACCTTGTGAACTGGAGCAAACAGGCCATACCTGGGCATGCACTGGAAGTACCTGAGGAGGAGACAGTTTGTACTATGCAATTATCCTCTGTCATATGTACTACAGACAGAGCTCAGAGTATTGTAAATTTGCTATGCAAATAAAACTAAAAATCTGTCTGTGCTCTTTACCTGGTTCCAGCTACAGCGCCATCATTCTTGCCTAGAGGTTCATCTAGTTCGACTCCACACCAGTCTCCCTTAGCAAAGTCTGTCTCTCCGAGAAACCTCACCACTCCTGCCTTGGTACCACCAACCTACACACAAAACAATTCATGCAAATTCATTTTTATCTAAAAATGTTATCTTTTTTCTATTTACAATAACGGCTTCAATCTAGTGGAATTATTCAAGGTGAAGCAAGCAATTTATCGAACTTGAAACATTTACACAAGCAGCCCTAGGAAAAAAAAGCACTGAGTAGTGTAGCAATAAACTTTTCTGTGAGGCTCCATGTCTACATCACTGATATTCTGCCCTAACGCCAGCCGTCACAGTGGATTCAGTCATTCTTACCAGCACTCGGTCTCCCAGCCTTAGCTCCCTTCTGTTCTTCTTCGTGGAATCTGGGTCGGAGAGGTTGGACACTGACTCACTGGATGTCAGGATCCGGTTAAGTGCTCCGCCTGTCTTAATGGCGGTGCCTGGAGCTGAAGGAAGAAGAAAAAAAACAAATACAAGAACGATCACAGGGTCCACATTTGTCAGTCACTTTGTAAGAACATCTTAACTGAAGCAAAACTGTGAGATGTCCCAAATGCTATTTTGTTTCTTCCAGTCTCTGGCTGTGATCAACAGCCTTTATTTAAAGCTGTTAAAGCTGGAGGTGGGGTGATGTGACCAAAGTCTGATTTTAAAACTGGAAATTTGTTTGACAAATTCATTCTAAACACTAGGTAAAGAAAATGGCTGTGCTATGAAATCAACTGTGTCTACCTAAAATAACAAGGCAGAGAAAACGCTATAAGCAGCAGAAGGTTTGTTACTTTTTTTTTTTTGTATCTTTAGAGACCAAGATCCTTGTTGCAGAGCAGTAGTCTACTACCTATAGACTTTTAGCTAGGTGCTTAAAAAGTTTTATGGCAAAGTTTCTAAGTCAGCAACAGTGAGTTGAATTGAAGCAGGACGATGACTGTGAGAGAGGTACTCAAGGTAAGAGGGCCAAGAGCACTTGGCATTAAGAAGTTTATCTTCTCTTCTACTATCTGACTAATTTTTATTTTACTTTAGTTAGTTATTTTCCAAAATGTAGCTTTGTACATTTAACTTTTAGTGTTGAACAGGACAGAAAGGAGAGAAAGAGAGAGAGAAAGCAGGGAGAACAGCACACAGGAAATGGCCTGGGATGGAATCTAGCCTCTGTGGTGGCCTTGAGGCATGTGTGTCGCCCACTTAACCCTGAGTGATCAAACTAACATTCAAATTTCAAACTACATCCAAAGGTAACCCTGACAACATGGAAAAAAAATCTCTTAAATATAGCACGCCTATAAGGGAATTTTAAGAATAAGCAAATGGCTAAAGTGGATGTTAACCATCTGCTGTTAAACCCATTAGTCAGAAACAAACACACACACACACACACACACACACACACACACACACACACACACACACACACACACACACACACACACACACACACACACACACACACACACACACACACACACACACACAATTTTCTCTTTATGCTGCAAGTAGGAAATAAACTCCCTGGTGCCTCTCTCAGTCTCTCTACTCTGCAATCAATGTTAAAGGATAGAGGATAGTGGAGCATGGCTCTTGTGCAACATTAAGGCTAAGATACAAGTCTTTCCCTAAGTTTAACAAAGCTGATAAGGGCATCTCTGAAAATATTTGGTCTGTAAAGCACAGTTATCCACCCTGTTATGTTTTCACAAATAAACTTACTAGATGAAGTAGTGCCAGCAGGTGCTGCCTCGCTTGTTGCGGAGACTCCTTGTGTTGGGCTGGCCCGGCCTCCATTCGTCTCCTTCTCTGGCAGTGCTGTTCTGGACAGCTTTGAAGGCCGCGTGAATATCCCCCGTCCGTCCTCACACTGGAAGTACCGGACCCCTGCCACAGAGCCATCGTTTTTCCCGATCGACTCGTCCAGCACAATGCCCGCCCACTGGCCGGGAGCAAACTGCGTCCCTCCAACAAAGTGCACATAGCCAGGCTTGTTGCCGTTCACCCAGACTCTCTCTCCAATTTTAAAGTCTGTGTTTCCATCTTGGACTGGTGAGGTCACACTGCCAGGGGACTTTTCAGGAGGAACTGGCTTCGAGGTACCTGCAGTTGGAATCATGTTTTAATAAACCATAGTTAATAATCTTAAATATTACTTTTTTATAGTTAGATTTAAAAGGTGCATTTTTTGCCAAAAAGAATTAGGTTAATTAGGTTAAAACAAATGAAAATCAAATTTATTTATTGGATTTTCCTTGGTTTTGTTATTATTTATTAAATTATTAATAAACACCAAGTCAGAATCCAAGGAATCATATTGTAATTAGTTGGAAAAGTTGTTGGACTGGTGCACCCATAGTAATACGAGGAACAGATTAAGTTCTAGGGAGATTTAACCCCCAAAAATGCTTCTGTTTGGGGATTAGTACCTGGTGAGAAATGTCAGTATGATCTGTTTAATACAGTCTGCATTCTAAAAAAAAATCTGCAGCTGTAAACATTTTGAGTTTCTTGTAGTCTTTCTCCATTTTCGCTTCATAAATAATGCTGAATCCAAATAACAATCATCCAAAGACTGATTTAAGGATGTAGATGATTAAAAAGAAAAGCACCTTTAGTGATACTATATACAGAAATACACATGGAGGTCCAGCACACTTTGAGAAAACTCACTGATAAGTTCTGTAGTTAAGAACGGCCCAAACAGATACAAACGATAGCACGACACTTCTTGTTGACAGAATTAGACACTTTAATAAACAGACACAATCTTGAGGGGTTTTTTCTTCAACAGCTTCTTACCAGATGACGGTGATGTCCGTGATGGAACGCCGGAGGGACGGACTATTTTACTGGGGGGTTTTAGCCCACTGGCTTTGCCTGATGTACTCATGGCTCCTTGTTTGTCCATGGCTGGGGGGGGCCTATTGAAGATGAGAGATTAGGCCTTCCCCACCACCTTACACGGTCACAGTATGATAAACAGGAGCTGGCAAAAAGAAAAGAAGAATGTATCCTCAAGAAAAACAAATATAAAAAGATGACAGTGACAATAAAGAGGACACTGAAAATGCTACATCCAGATTAAGATAATCAACTTTTGGTTATTTCCTTACCTGGATGACTAAGCATGCATTAAGAAATAAAAAGATGACATGTCAATATCAAGGCAATTTCATGTGTTTTAATTTTTTAATTGTAAAAATCTAAACTGGTTATAAACTATTATACAAAAAGATAGATTTTAAATTTAAATTCTAAATCGTTCTGGTTATTTTGAATGTGTTTTTTGTTAATCAGCATCAAAAATCCCTTATTAAATATTTTGTGTTCTTTCTTGTCTTAGGACTTTTCATGTGTGACTGTAGCCCATTCACAGAGGCCTACAACCCCCACAATTACATCAGTGTCTCAGTGAGAGCTGTCGCTCTGCTCAGTGAGGCCTCAGTTTGTCTCAACACCTCCTACTGTATGTCACTAAGTCACAGCCCAGTGTTTATTACAGAGCTGTTCATTATCATCTGTGAAATCACTGTCATATTCAGCTGACCACATGGTATGTCTCCAGTTTCAGCTCACATGCCCATTAGTAGAAACATCTCTGCTACCATTTAATTCACAAGGTACGTATATGAGTCACACTGACTACAACAAGAATGTCTTTGGACATTAAAGCTAAGCGACTAAAGCCACCAAGCACTAGATGTTCATGGATGGAAGCTAAAGGTAAAAACTCATTTCAGGATGTTGGAAGACAAAATGTGTTGATTTATTTGGTTGTAAAATGGTTTATTTCAGACAGCCATACATCTACCCCAGGTTTACCGACTAGTGTTTCTAGACAACAACGTTTTAAATATTAAAAAACATGTGTTACACCATTTATTTATATGTCAAATTCAGATGTGTGTTTCCACATGCTATAATGGCCCAACCTGAAAAGACAAGATTTTCACCTTTCATTAACCAAAGCTCAACATTTTTACAAAATGTTAAGATTTTGTAAAAGGTTTCAACAAACCGTTCATGAAATCTTCTTATCAAAGAGATGGGCAGGGTGAGATGAGTTGTATTAGCTTAGACGCCAGTCACTAAATAACAAAATTAGCGTTTGACATCAAACAGACTATATTGTGCTTCCAAGGAGCCAGACTTTGTTGTAATTTTTGAAGTGCTCTTGGGCAAAGTTGTCTAGGCTTTCTGCAGGTCTTTCAATGCTTTCAATGACATTGGCTGCTTTTTCACTCATTTCCAGTCCAATCTTTGTACCTGACCATTTTCAGAGGAGTGTTTTTTTATTTGGTTCTATCAGCTACTTAACACTGACCTATGAATCATTCAAGTATGTAAAAGACACCTGAGTCAAGGGATGAACCAACTTAGCAAAAGAGCTGTTTTAAATAGTTTGTCATGGCACTTTGTTACTAACGCCCAGTTGCAAAAACACATATTTTTTTCACATTTCTTTAGCTAAATCTATGAAAAATACCAAAGATAACACGGTTTGACAGGCATAAAATATTATTTTTTCAATAACAAGGTTATTCCCAAAGAGCTATAGCCAAAAAACATGGCATATCTCAGCATGCTGTGCAACGTCCTTTAAAAAAAAAAAAAACAGCTCCTAACATAGGACCTGAGAGACACATTTGGGCCTTCCATTGATCTATTTTGCTGAAGCCTCAAGGAAAGGAAAATGTTGGTATAAAAAATGTACACAAGAACTCGACTGAAAAATCAATGGTCCACAGTCACAGTGTTCAATTGCCTTAAAACAGGATTATGAATCAAGAAACCTCCTTTAAATAATTATAATTAAATTAAGTGCAGAACAGAACAGACAGAAAACAGAGGCCAGTGGGAGATTTTCCCTAAACGTCACAGTCGAATACCAGCACCAGCAGTACAGACATGAAAATACAGGTGAAAAGTTTTTATGAATAATCTTAGCTGAAAAATCCGGACAGCTTTTTGATTATGTGTTAATTTGATCCAGTATCTTGAAAACTTCCAAAGATGATGTTTGGGTTATAAAGAAAAATCTAATTAAAGAAGATGTGTCTTTCATGAAAGACACATCTTCTTTATTGTTTGTAAGATACTGGAGAATATGTTCTTTTTATATGAAATGACAACATCACAATGGACATATTTACATGGAGAGATATAACTGATAAGAAATCTTTAAGAATTCGAAAAATAGCTTCATAATGGAGGCAAATGTTGTTAAATTATTCTCAAAAACAGATGTTTAAATCTAACTCAAATCTAATGGGACTCAGGGGCACCAGTTTTCCTCCTGGGCCACCAAAGACTTAACGCAGCCTCGTCTCCGAAGCAACCGGCACCGTGAGCAGTACCTGCTCTGTCCATGGTAATAAAAGTATATCATACTCATTTAGGTCGACCTTTTTAGTTGGAGCACTAAATCGTTTCTCACAACACTGAAGAGAAATCCTGTGCAGGTAACATTACTTCAGAGGTCTTCCCCCGCCCAGCAGGTGTTGCCAGACCAACACAACAAGCACACCTACAGCTGTCATGCATCAGCCTGCTCTCCATTCTCTGCTGCCAGCTCACTAACGACCATTCAATTATCTCCGGTTTTGCATGATCACACAAAAGCAATTAATGAAGGGAGAAATCGTTAGTGTACATAACAGACACATAAGAAGACTGGTGTGTGTTGTTTGTGTGGGCTGGGCTCTCTGTATCTATGGAGCTAGTGAGATAACTTGGATTTTTACCCGCCACACTTTCCCACTAGGCATCCTGCACATTTAACCAATACCGGCGGACTGACTGGCATGTCATTTAGCAGCAGATCATAGTGATTTACGTGAGGTAACAGGCACTTGTTTTTTTGTTTTTTTATCATATTTTGCATCCTGTTAGCTAGAGCCACGGTGGTTGCTGGTATGCCAAAGCTAGCTAGCTTCAAAACAGCAATAACGCACAAACTGTGGTTAATATAAGACAACTAACACTCTAATGAGGCGATATTAAAGCAGACTAAACACAGACAACAGTGGGGAAAAAAGCTGCTTTGAGAGCTTACTTTGTCTCGTTAGATGAACTGGGTCTCAGTAAGGAATGTCGTGAGAAGGTGCAGCGTACCTTGCACCGTTACATGTTTTTTCCAACAGCTACTGTTTCCCAGCCCAGCCCCGACTCACACAATCTGACGTCACTCTTGGAAATGATGCTGCCTTCACAGCCCCAACATAAGCTCGTGAACTGTGAAGCCTAGTTGTAAATTTGGGGATCTGAGGTTACTATCGTTGCCAAAAATTAAGGTAATTCTGGAAATGAACTTAATATTTTTGTTAGCGTAAAATAAAACTAGAGTAGAGAAAAATACAAAATGTGAATTAAACAATAATATTTACTTAGGTAATATAACATTTCAAATATCAGGAAAATATTTTGATCCGTTTTATCAAATTTTTCACAACCAAAAGAAGGAAGATACAATGTTGCGTGAGTTAATATGGGCTGGGATATCTGCATTACTGTCAAAGTGTTGTTTTGTTTCTTTGTTTTTAATGATATTGTGAACTTCAGTCTAGCCCCTTAAAAATATCACATATCAAGGAGTAATAAAACAAAAACTGAAAGTAAATAGGGAAACTCACAATGGAAATTATCTGAATCTACATTAACTAAAAAAAATGCTAACTAAAAATACATAAAATACTAATAATAAAATGTCATCAGCAGTTATTGAAATGCAATTTCTTAAAGTGGGAAAAGAAAAAATAAATAAAATTCTTAACACCTCACAGTAAAAATAAAGGCAAGTACTGACATAAAAATGTACTTTTGTAGATGTACGCTATTGTCACTGACGCATAATGCGAGAGCTTCATTTTGCTGCTTTAGCTCTCTGAATCATAGCTTTGTTTTCTACACTTTGCGCAAAGCTGAAAAAGAATAGCTCACTGGATTCGTTTTCAATCGACTGTTTTTGTAAAAACTGAGGAAAAAACAAGAAATATTATCACAGTCCCTGAACCCCAAAGAGACATATCTAAATAACTTAGATATCTAATTTACTGTCAACAACTAAATGATTTTTATTGGATTTTTTTTCAAAGCAAAATATTTTTAAAACTTTTCAAAGGCTAATTTTACCACCCACCTAACTATGGAACAGCCATTGTTTAAAATAAATAAATATTTATTTATTTACGACCTTAGTGAAAGTACATTATTAGTAAGTAGAAAACATTCAAAAGTAAAAGTGCGCAAAATGTGCTTGGTTCCATTCAGACACTGAAAAGTGGACCAAAAGAACTATGTAATGTTTAGGCGTAATCTTAATTTTTTCTTTATTGAAAACAAAATGTGACAGGGTACACAGACTGAAATGTTATACAAGCAGAAATACACTTGCAAAGGCATTTACATACACAGTGCTTTATTCAAACTAGCTGAAATTATCTGCAAACCATACTAGACTATCTCAAAAAACCTCCCTTTGCATGTGGGTTTTGCCCTGATAGTTTGTTAGCACTAACGTGAGCTAAACTTTTCTGTGGCTGTACAACCATTTCATTCAATAAATATTATTTCAGTGGGCAGCCAAAAGATCAGTGTTACACTTGAACTGCCTAATAAAAACATTAAAACCAACCTTATCAAGTATCGTGGATACATGAGCCGATGGCATCTATGTGAGATGTTGCCTTGACAAGCTTTTAAGTTCATTCTTTACTCACCTGCCCAGCTACTAGGGAAATGTAATTGTAAGCTACTAACGACAGGTAAGTGGCTTATAATCACAAAGTACATCCAAAGTCACAACAGGTGCATCATTGCAATAAAAGCACTACACCACTAAGATGTATAGTAAGTGAGTCATTTTGTTCATAATTACAGCAAAAACTATTTGACATTTAATTTCAACTACAATAATATAAATGTTTTCAATAGCCAGGAGTTTACCATGCATTTGTGTATTCAGGTGGATCTTAGTTTCCCTACAGAATTAGAACAGGGACAAGCAGCTGGCTTTACAGCCTTCTATCATCTATGGTGGAAATGTCATTCTCTGATGACTTTTTCTCATCTTTGTCGCTGCTTCTTCTCAACAGTTTGTTAAGGACCTTGTTGAAGGCTCCACTGAAGGCAGGGCTCGAGAAATAATACAAAACAGGGTTGAGGACACTGTTGAAGTAAGTCAAACACACTGACGTGTAGAATGCCAGGTTGGCTTCTTCAAAGTATTTGCATTCATTGTACCATACCTTGAGGACCCACACTGCAATACGCGATATGGTGCTGGGGAAAAAGCAGATGATAAAGATTAAAGCCACGGCCAGGATGAACTGAACGGCCCGTTTGATTTTCCCCTTCTTGTCCACAGTCCGGATTCTCAGCTGCCATGTAATTCTGATGGTGCAGAAGGCCACGATGGCAGTGGGCAGGAAAAACTGGACAACATAGAAAGTGTTATGCCAGGTGGAAAGGGGACTAAAGCCCATGCAGATGTTGAAACTTTCACACTGCGTACGGTTGTTGTTGTAATAAAAGTGCTGATCAGCAAGAAGGTACCCCGTAGCAAGGAAGATCAAGCACCAGAGGCCAAATGAGACCCAGAAAGCATAGCCCAGCCCCATTTGGTTGATCCGATTCGACGGGTGGACGATCTTGAAGTAACGATCTACAGCCACGGCCGTGAGGAAAAAGATCCCAGCTGCGCAGTTGGCTGCCAGCAAAAAGAGCAAGATGCGACACGGGATGTCACCGTAGAGCCAGTTTTTCCCACGCCTGTAGTAATCTGCTCGGAAAGGCAAGCAGAAGAGCACGATGGAGTCTGCAACTGCCAGGTGAGTGAGGTACACAGCGTTGGGTTTCCATGTGTCCATGTGAAAGATGAACATCCACAGGGCGACAAAGTTCCCCGTTAGTCCAAACATGAACTCCAGGATGAGAACTGGAGGCAAAACTTGGTCCAGGATGGGAGATTCGAAGGCACAACAGAGATCTGTGACTGTGAGATTCATCTTCTGACCCATCAGAGGAAACGGCTGCTGTAACATACAGTGTCGGTAAAGAAAGGCTCCACCAGGTGATTTCTTTGGAAACTGAATCGTGTTTGCGCATATGCAAAAGGTGCTCAGCCAAACATACTAATCTTTATGTGGAGTGAACATCTGTGCACTCCGTTATCTATGGGGAAGCGGTATTGACCCAAAGGAGCATGGAAACAACTGTAAATGTTATCTGTCCAGGGAGTGCACCTTCATTATAAAACTATTATGCAGGGGAATAGGTTTACTCACGAGTATTGAGTGGGATGGATGAAAAACAAGTAACCTGCGGCCATTTAAGTAACTAAGATAAAGCAGCATATCAGAGCCCTGAAAAAGAACTCATTTTTAATGCTTTAAAAATAACAGACACACAACCATTAGAAGAAAAAAAGTCAAATGTGGAAAGAGTGTAAGGGTGAAGGAGACTGAAATTTATTAGCCTACAGTTTTGCTTGAGTGAAGAACATTTGGGAAGGATTCATGTCATACCACACCTTTGGCAAACGAGAGAAAGCAGCTATTAACTAAAAAAAAAAATGCCAAGTGAGTGGCTGAGTCCACAGCTTTTTATGTACAGTAAATAAAATAGGTATAAAATGACTTAATGTGTACATTTGGCCAGGTCGTCGCTGTTACAGGTCACATCCTTTCAGCAAAAGTGCATATTTGGTCTTCACTTCTTGACTTCACCCAGATCATCAATGCTGTCATCATCCACCTACAATGCACAGAGAGACACGGAGACTGAACTGTGTGTCATGTTTGAGATTATAGAGGACATTTTCAAAAGCAGTTCAGAAAATCCGCTTTTCACACCGTCCACAGACCCACGACACTGTCCTGTGCTATTATTTTGGATTGAATGAGTTCTAGCCAATTTATATTGACACTAACATATGCTGCTGTTGAGAACAATATAGTTATTATGGCATTTATTGTTTTACTGCCCAGCCCTAGATGGCACCTTAAGATGTGCATAAACAAATGACTCAATAAAACTGAGCGAACGTTATAAATAAGAGAGTGCCAAAATTCCTCCACAACACAGCAACATACTGAGGGGGGTGGGGGCACTTATTTTTTTAAAAACACATTACTGTAGGGACACAGTATATACACCAGTCCCTCACATACATACTGTACAATGTAAAGTACTCTTATGCATGTCTCCCCTCTTCTTGCAAATGTTTGCTGGAGTATGCTGTGTTGCACATGCAAGCAACAGGAAGCTAACTGCAGTTCACTTAAAGGCAGCCGGTGTCACTGATAACAACTTGAACTTTGTTACGTTTTTACAAATTGCCAGTGAGAGAGTAAGTTAAGAATGAACCTTTTCAGCACACCCTGGTTTTCTCCAGCTTACCTCAGGCCACTTCTCTTGAATGACGTCAATTATGTCGTCTGTAAAATCTCCCTGAATGATTATTTCATCCTCTGCTGTAACTGAGGCACCACAAGAGAATTTCTGGGCAAAGAATCGCTGAGCCTCTTTAAGGTCGATGTCTGCAAGAGTCAAACCAGAGAATCATGTTAAGAATAAAACATGAAGGGAATAAGATTTTGGCAGCCTAGAGGATAAGGACAGCACAAGAGCTCTCACCAAATGTCGCCAGGCCACACACCCGTGTGACGTATTTCTTCTTGGCTCTTGGGATCTTTGCTATTGTAACTTTCTGAGGCACAGTCTTCTTTTTCTGTTTGATCTGGCCTCTTCCACCTTAAAAGGTCAATTAAAATGAACCGGATTTAAACTCATGCAGTGTTAAGTCGCACACAATTAAAGCACTGATAAAAAGTGAAATGCAGACAACATGAAGCAATCAATCCTTAGCTATCATTTGAATCCTAAAGACTTACTGGAATCAGTAGACTCAAGTTTATCAGACCCATGTCTTAAAATGAACCTATGAGGTCTCAGAGTGTAAATAAACCTTAAACAAGGCAGGTTTCATACTTATTCCATTACTTTATATGTAGGAAATTTGATGCACTATAGCAGTGAATCATGAACCAGTAGATTCTGATTCCTTTTCCCTCTGACGTTTACGTACCTCTCTTCTGTTTCTTCTTTTCCTCCTCCTCGCCTGCAGGAGGAGCATCTCCAGTGCCCGGTTCCTGCTTAGGCGCATTCGCTGCTGGGCCAGTGGGACAAATGGAAAATGGAACAACATTAAACCCACTCCCTCAACAACATGTTTAGCTTTCAAGGGATTATTATGCAGCTTGAAAGCATGGAATCATTACAGATCTTTACAGCAAATCGTTTCACCTTTCAGGCCTTGAAAGTCTGTTTTAAACAATTAAAAGCCAGTTCTGTTCACACTGTGGTGAACCTTGCAAAGACAGGACCTCTAGAACTCCAAAACTATATTTTTAAAGTACACATGACAATCAAAAGCATTTCATGTAGCATGGAGCTGACCAAAAATTCATCACACTAAATGTTATCAATCCAAAGAGCAGCGTGAGAAAAACTTTAATGTCAGCATGACCTAAATGAGCGATTTGAGAGATCAGTTTATTCACAACAGCTGGCTAAGTACCAGTTTGGTATTATAACATATATGATTTAGCTTCCACAGAACAAAGTCAGCCTGAACAACGTCAGAGCCTGCTCAGAGCAGCAGTGTAAGGGAACTCTGAGCTTTTTCAAATAAAGCATTACTGTTAGAGAAAAAATAATCCTGACTGACTGTGAGGGACCCAGCAACTGCAGCTAATATTAGAAAATTGTGGCTTTTGTTGGAGTCAAAATGTTAAGTCTATAATTATCACCTCATCTAATCTTTTTAGAGGAAGGCTATTCTGTTAATGTCCACAACTGTATTTTTAGTCCGTGAATGACCCACGATTTCAAAATAATGTTCATGGCTGTTTTAGTGCAGCCCCTCGGACCATCTGTCCCTCTTTAAGACAGTCTTTTCTGACGTACCTGAGATGACCATATTAGAAACAGTCCCTCTCTATGACATCAAACACATCCAAGAGTAGAATAACCTGCCTGAAACATGAGTTTTTAGAGCAGTCTGAAACCTGAAATTTTGGCTCATTACTTGCACCTACACTGACATTTAAAACTATGACCATGATCAATAAGAGCATCCAACTTGCAAAAATGGTTACATTCATTCATTATTATATATCTAAAATCTGAAACGCCACTCACCTACAGTCATCCTGGCAAACACATCTGGAAAGTTCTTCTCCAGCCACTGCCTACATTTAGCTGGCTCAGGCATGTACTCACAGTACTGCAGACACAACACTGCAGTTATTTACATTGCAGCAGAAAAAATACCCCCAAATGAATATTTATAGAAAAGTGGGTCACACAACTAAATATGGAAACTGATAGTCAAACTCACCTCTGTAGGCAGAGAGCACACTGCAGAGAGAGAGAAAAACAAATCAAAAATTAATGTCACGTTTTGAAAAGGGGCCACCGCAAAACAATTGAAGATGAAGTGTGGTTTTGATGAGTGGTTTTATATACTGCACCTCCACAATAAAGAACTTTCATTGGGTACTTTGAATCAGGGTCAGCTGTCCCTTGCTCTGATCTGCTTTCCAAGGACCCAGATTCCATCTCAGTAGTAGCCATCAGAAATTAACTAGAAAAAAAGGGACAATGAACACAGGGCACACACAACATTTATCCAACTCATGTTAAATACCAGTAGTTTGTGAGTTGTGTTTTAGGATTACAATTAAAAAATACCACAGAAAGATGTGCTTTCTTTTGTTTTTAAAATGGGTGCAAGTTTTTTGTTCTTTAAACTGACAGTAAATGGCAAAAAAAAAAGCCTTTTAGAATTTACAATATCACAACATTCCCAAAGATATTCAGTATACCAACATTTCACAAAGTAAATGTACATATTCAAAAAGAAAAAATGGTAACTTTATATCTATATTTACCACGCACAGACACTTTGATGAGATGCCAAGTATATTAAGGCAACGCAAAAATATTCAGCAAGTTCTTGTTTGTTTGTTTTTCTAGGTTAGAGAACAATACCATCCACATCAATTCATGTGTGAAATACTTATTTCTCCTATACTGAAGGTTCAATCAGTGCCCTGGTCCATATAAAAGATGGACAGAGCTACAGTGATGTCACCTATTCCTGAAGTCCCATTTTGAAGTCTCCAAAGCTGTCATTTTGGTTTTAAAAGAACAGAACAAAAAAAAAAAAACAACCCCGGATGTGGTAAGGAGTGACTAGTGGACATCAACAACAAGCCAATGCAGACACCACAGATAATCCATTGTAAAACATGTTATGCCCAAGATTTATGGGACAAATTGAATTTTTTAATGAAGTATGATCCATAACAAGTGACAGAGGTTGTAAACGCAACAGGAAAGTGTTTATAATCGTCAATACAGAAATCCATCTTCCCATAGTCTTCTGTAGGACCTGAAATCTTGTTGCAACCCCAGCTATCACCATCTGGCAGCCTTTCAATAGAATGCATGTTTAAGGCACTTCCGCATTCTGGGCTACTTTTCACACCCAAAAGCTACATCCATATTTTATACTGTCTATGGTTTCTGCTAATTGCGTGATGCTAACACGTCTCATCTCTGTTTGAACTTATATCACTAAGTTATTTGGCAAATAAAAAGGAAGAAACTTGCAGACAGCATTCTTTAATAATTCATTTACAGAGGAATCCATGCTTTCCTTTGCTGGCACCAAATGTCAATATATAGAAGCTAAATTAGTTTGAAACACTGCATGTATTTGCATTGCTTGCAGATATATGTGAAATATCAGCAGGCAGATATTTTTTGTCTGATACTGGCCCATGGCCGATATATTAGCGTTTACATTTTCCAAAAGTGTGAACATGCAAAAACGTGCAAACTATTTATTCTGTACAGGAATTATTGGAGAAAAGGGTGACTTTTCTGAAAGGGTTTGAACACAGCTTGTCCACCAGAGTGAATCTGACTCTAGGTACTGTGCGTATTAAATGTAGCAAGTACCATTATAACTGGGTGGAGTTTTTAACTTTTCACTTTAACCAACACGTTTGTGAGAAAGAATATGCGTCAACCTCAACATATTTTATGTATATATATAAATAAAGGCTAAGAATCAATATCAGATGTTTTATCCCATGAAAATATGGATTGGGTGGATTGGGTTCGGAATGAAATAGAGGTCCGAATGGTGAGCAAATATTTGAATGGGAGAGAATTTACTTACAAGTTGTGAAAACTGCGCTTACATAGACTACACTGCAACATGAAAAGGTTTAAATACTACTCATGATTAAAGTTTACATTACAACTTATAAACCGACGGACTAAAGTCTCTTTAGATTTATTATCAGACAATAATACATGGATGAGCACGGCTCCTGGCAGTATTTCATCATGCTAGCCTGCCTTGCCAACACTCTTCCCTTAGTTTCACGACATATCGGGCACATGGGCACCAGCTAGATAACAGCATCAAACAGATGTGACTGAAGTGAAATTGATCACCAGCCGATCTCAGACTGTAATTTAGCGCCTGGCTCCAAAACATAAGTGGAAAGAACCACAGAAAAAATAAAACATATAAGGCAGTATGAATTTGATATTGCCTGTGGAAAGAACAGGCTTTAGCTTGCTAACACATGCGGCTTCTTTGCATTAGCTGAGCTATTAAACAGAATAGTTCGCTACAATGCTTATAGTAAAGTCTACAATTAACCCGTAGTAATTATTCTGCAAACACCCATCCCGTGGACACGATGCATCGAGCTGATATCTTTAAAAAAAATATCGAGTTTAGTTTTACTGCTTCATTCATCAGGTAAGATTCATTCGCCCAGCTGTCACCGTAAGCATCTAGGAATTAGCTTAGCCGGCTAACTGAGCTAACGCACGGCTAAAGTGGACACGCTCTGCTGCTGAATAAATACAGAATAAATGTCAAATTACGTACCCCGTACGATATACTCTAAAACTGTTGTCTTTCCAATGAAACCGATCGCATTATTCAAGCTCGTAAGAGTTTTAGAAAAGCATTCTCATGAAATATGGTTCACTTGGCGTACTTGGAGCACGCCATGTAACGCGTCTTGTTTTCTTCTTCTTCTGTATAGGGTTTATTGGCGGTTGGCAAACAGCAAAATGGTGCATTACCGCCACCAACTGGTGTGGAGTGTGGACCGAAATTACAATAAATAAATAAGTAAAATATTCAAATTCTCCCGAACAAATGGGTCTGCCTTAAAAACCAAAATACAGCCTGATAACTTTCACTTATAGAGCTCACGGGAAATAAAATTAAACAAGTCCAACTTCACTTTTATATCGTCCAGCTTTTTGATCAGTTGTCTTCCTGTTCCCTACTGCAGTCACACTCCCCTGTACAGTGTTTACCTATTCACTTCTTGTTTTAGTTATAGGGGTGGATTATATGCTTCAGCGCCCCCTGTGCTTCGGAGTAAAAACACACATCACAGATTTATTTTATTTTTTCTAGTTTTGTTTTCATTACTGTCTAAGAACCTTCATAGACGTCTAAGGAAGGAAGCTCAAAACAAGAGTGAATACCAGAACAAGATGTTTGGCATTGGCAGAGAAAATCTATCAATTTTCAGGGGCATACCCATTTAGGAGAAATAAATTTAATAAATTACTGCTACTCCTCCTCCTCCTACTACTACTACTACTAATAATAATAATAATAATAATGATAACAATTATTATTATTATTACTATTTTAAAAATAATTTCCCAAATATGGCATTAATGAGGTGTTTGTTAGTCTTGTTATTCTTGTTCTTTTATTTTGGAGTTATATTACATTATTTTGAAAAGTTCTGCAGGAGTTCCGTCACTGACGTCACAACATTCAAAAGTTGGTTGAAGTTTCTACGAGCTAACGTGTAAACTTTTGGGGGAACATTTGTAGCATGTTTCTAAATTAGAGCAGATTTGAAGCTTTTGGATAGTTGATATGGTAAGATAATCTTAGCTATCTTAATAAGCTAGCTAGCTACCGACTTGCCCTCGAGAGATGCCCCAGAAAAAGCTCGGCACAACAATAACAACAGTGACTGATGATAGAGATTGAACAGATTTTAGTAAAAAGCTGGAATGATGTGATGGAGAAAGGGAAAAGACTGTGCACAAATGTAAGTGCTCTTGGAAAAGCCTCAGCCTGTTCCCTCTGGTCAAATGGTAAACAGATGTTTTCAACTACATTTCCACCATCCTTCTTTTAAAAATTTTTTTTAAAAGAGGTGTAGTTTCATCCACCCAACATCCACTTCTGCTTTGTTTCAGATGCTTCAGGTGAGCGGTGGCATAGCACTCCAGTTAAAACGGTGAGTAATATCGACACATGTCGGGATAGTATTGTAGCAGAGTGATTGTAATTTGTTTTGTATTATATGACACTTTTAAGAAAAATGAAGGTGCTTCACTTGATGTGCACCAAATACCTGGTCGAAACAGCTTTAAGATGGACAGCAGACCAAAACAGGGCACCAAAGGCACCCCTCCCATCTTAGCAGATACCTTCCGTACTCCCAGCATGCAGGAAACTAAGGTAAGAGAGGATGGATTGCTAGGAGGATCAAGCAGGATGTTGCTGGTAAATCTTTCACATTTGTGTTTATTGTTTATATTGTTTGTTTGTTTTTTGCATTCAAAACCCAGTTATTGAAATAATTTTAAAAGTTTTATATCCTTTGACCAACACAATAACTGATTGATTCCTTCAGTTGTTATTTGAGGTTTTCTGTCATTTGTGTGTTTGGCAAAAGTTTACTGCAACTGACCTGAGCAGCACCATCATCCAGAGGCAAAGGAAGGAACTGCACCTGCTGATGGCTGAGTTAAAGGACCGGGAAACAGAGTTAAATGCCATGGCTGCTTCCCATCTTAAGCAGCATCATACCTGGGAACAGTACCGCCAGAGGGTGTTGACCTTGGAGCAGAAGTGTGCCCATTTAGATGGTGAGGAAAGCTAAGGATATGTTGGTCAGTTCAATACAGCTGAAACTCACAGGGGAAAGCTGGGTTGCAAAGCAGCTTGCAGATGTCCAGCAACTGTAGGCAGGATACAGCAGCTTCAATAGCGCACTGTACATAAGATTTACCAATCCAATGTAGAAGGAAATTAAGCATAATCAGTTATGGTAATCTAAGGACCTTGGAAAGAAAAGTGACCGGACTTCTTTTTTTAGGCCTTCGCAATAAGGCTTAAAAATCTGTGACTCTCCACCAATTGTTCTTGGAACTGAAAAAGCTTGTTGGATGAGAGGTGAAAAGTCTTCAAGAAACTTAATAAAGTCCAGATGCTTTTCTTTCCAAGCTCCTTAGATTCAAAAGTGAAATATCAATATGTTTATGATAAACCATGACAATATTGTAAATAGCTTTGTGATTTTCTTTTCTCTTGTTGCTGACAGTGTAATTAATTTGTATAGATATGGTAATAACATGGTTGTTATGAAGCCATAATAAAAGTAGGAACCCCGGCTGAGTTGTAAAGAGACCAAAAATGCATTATATTAATAAGTAATCATTTTTTCTTTGTCTGCACATTGTTTCTATAGTTTGCACATCATCTGCAGACTGAGGCTGTTGATGAAGGTGCGTACACATGCCATTTTGTTAAACGGCCATATGGCGGGACTTTGTTCTTTTTTGTGTGTGCAGAGGAGGTGCAGATGCGTAACGAGGTGATCAGAGTCTTGACTAAACATGTGCGGCTGGTGGAAACCAGGGAGAAGGAGGCCCAGAAGGAACTCGACGAAGCCCGACAGCAGATCTGTGAGCTTGAAAAGAAGCAGAAGCACATCAGTGAAAAATGCCAAGACTTTCAGGTACTTTCAGGTACCGCCATAACATCAGCACACAGTTGGATACACTTAGTACTGCTGGGTGTGGTCGTTCATGTGATGAAACATAAAGATAAATGTTAAAAATGATTCAGGAATGAATTGGGTTTCTTTTTTTTATTTGTTTTTTAAAATTCCCTGATACACAATTACTTTTTTCAGCTAATCCCTTTTGGGATCGCCAGAATAGATCATCTGCCTCCATTTCACCCTGTGCCTGTCATCCTTCTCTGTCACACCAAATCTCTGCATGTGCTTATTCAGTACCCTCAATACTGCAGTTCAATATTCCAGAAGCTTCTATGTGATCTTCCCCTTTTCCTCTTCCCTCAGCTCCATCTTGAACATCCTTTGTCTAATATGGGCCTGGGCAATATGGGAAAAACAACAATTTATAACCATAATGTTTTAGTACCGTTTCATTAAATCTATTTTTTTTAGCTGTCCTCATGACATCATGCATTCATGATATCACTTTGTCTGTTTGTTTGTTTTTTCTGTCTTCAAGTATGGTACAGGATAAAGTGTGTTAAGTCTAATGTTGTGTAGCCAAAAGGTCTTCACACTACCAAATTCCTTGGATCCTTATTTCTAGCATTTCCTCATCTTTTGAGCCTTTTTTGGGAGCATCACTTTTGGTAATTCTGCGACTTGAGTCTTCTTTTTCCATTCTCATTTTGCCTTTTATATCATTTACACTCCTGATGTACTGGTGTGTATAGCTACGGTAACTCAAAGCACATGTGCTGCTACCAGCTGCTCCTCCTGCACTGTCTATCAGTCTAACCTGATGTTGCTCTAATCCTATTCTTATCACTTGCACTCTGTTCTCTGAGATTTTATCATGGATTTCAAACAGGTCAATAATAAACAGATGGCCTGTATTTGTATAGCGCTTTACATAGTCCCTAAGGACCCCAAAGCGCTTTACACTACATTCAGTCATCCACCCATTCACACACTGGTGATGGCAAGCTACATTGTAGCCACAGTTGCCCTGAGGCGCACTGACAGAGGCAAGGCTGCCGGACACTGGCACCACCGGGCCCTCTGACCACCACCAGTAGGCAACGGGTGAAGTGTCTTGCCCAAGGACACAACGACCGAGACTGTCCGAGCCAGGGCTCGAACCGGCAACCTTCCGATTACAAGGCGAACTGCCAACTCTTGAGCCACAAGTCACATCAACTTTGCATTCAAATTTCATTTGAATTGTTAGTGATGAGAACAATCTCTGTGGTTATAACTGAGTATTTTTCAGTGGAAGTCTCCAAACCCAAAGGTATTCAGGTGATGAAGGAGACCAAGACCCCCACCAAAGGAGCCCCACCCAGCAGCTGTTGAAACCTTGTGTTTTTGTGTTCTTAAATGAAGAGGCAATAAAACAGCTTGTTATAACACAAACAAGGAATATTTTGAACTGGAAGTCATGCAAAACTATTTTAGCACATTAATACAACTATGTGTCCATGCTGTTTTTCAGGAGAAGAACCAGAGTCTCAACTCCACAGTCACGGCTCTGTCCACACAAGTCGGCTCTCTGCAGGTCAGGGAGGAGGAGCTCAGTTCCATGCTCAAACTCAAGGTACACGTGTAAATCTTTGCTCTCTATATAATCTACTGGTCTTGTATCAATTTATGATGTCCCATCATTTTATCTAATTATTCTAACCCTTTAGGACCAAGATATGGCAAAAGCCTCGAGTTGTATACTCGATCTCTCAGGGCGCCTGCAAGACCTTGAGACATCTCTGAAGAAGAGTCGCTCACAGGAAAGCAAGCTCCTGAAAGACCTGGAGGAGAATAAAGTGTCTTACAAGGAAGCCAGACATGAAGTCACACAGCTCAAAGGTACATTATTAAAACTTTGTGTCATTTTGTTGCCTATTTACTCTCATTCTTTAGAGGGCAGATGATCAGAGGACACTGATATTGTTAAAAGAAAAATAAGGATAATGGAACAGTAGTCTGCAACTCTGCTCATAAAAAGGAATTGAAAGCCTTTTGGGAATCAGATTTAGAAGATCTGCCCTTATACGTTGTCTCCATGTGCTCCATGTGACATTTTTAGTCTGGATGTATGGCTGTATATTTTTTTCCAGCATTCACAGAGTTATGCACAATAAATTCTGTTAACACAGACTACAAGACACATACCATTTAGTGCTGACACATAAAGCATTGAAAACACAGGAGCTTTTTATGAAGGATCATTATTATAAAAACTCTAATGGTATCTGAACTTCCAAGATGCAGGTTGGACCGTATTTTTCAAACGGAGAACT